AACCAAGAACTGGAGTTTAGATATTAAGCATGACTTATCTTCTAGTGAGAGTCTACCAAGTTTGTTCGAATAAAAGCCCTGGGGACAAAATAGGCCCCCCAAGAGGGGGGGGGGAGTCTTTGTTTTTCACTATATGTGTAAAGTAAAAACTTAAAAATCTTCTTAGAGCTTAGATATTTATCATGAAACATCTTCAAATGGGTGTCTACCAAGTTTGTTCAAATAAAAGCCCCCTGGGTTAAAATTGGCCCGCCCCAGGGGCCTATTTACAGGTGAGCAATTTCAGGGCCATAATGGCCCTTTTGTTTCAATTTCTGAATTTTAAAAGTAAATTTCAGTCAATTTAATCCAAATTTTACCAGAAAATCATTCAGAATGTAGAAGTTTCTATATTAGTTACATAGAAATCAGACAAAGAAATTTAAAGGACCCTGAAAAACTTTGGATATCGGAAGTTTGAGAAGTTTAGAAATTCTGGAACTCTGAAATTACACTGTATATAAGCAGACATTGTGAATTTTATTCACAGAAAGGTTTTGTTAACTTTGAAAGTTTACAGGACATGTTTATAGTTAACATTAACTTAAGTGATACCATTATGTCCTCAGTACACTTCGGGGTCCGAGTTCCCCCCTTGTTTAAAGTTTAACTGTTTACTGTAATTGAAAACTAACTGATTGTATGTTAATATGTATTATTTTACTCATCTTAAATTCATTCTTAGCTTCAGATGAATGTTTTGACAGTGAAAGTGTTGTTGAAGTCAAACAGGATGCAATAAATAGCCATGCAGTTTCACAGGTACTGGCACAAACAATTATCAATGCATTTACAGAAGTGAAAAAGAATAAAATGTTTTCCAGTTCCTTTATACCATCATTCATTGCGACATCAACAGTTATTAGAATAACTATGTACAACTGTGAAATGGATAGTCTGATAATGACGGAGGATTTAAAGCTCTTCAGGTGGGATAAAGATCAAGGAAATACCACCTTAGATGTTTCAACAATTTTGAGTGTATGGTATGCATTGAATTTTCAAAACTATTTTGATAAAGAATTTGAGAGGGTACATGTTAAGTCAAATTTCAAAGAACATGCTGGTAAAAAGTTAGCTTTATATGAAGAAAAGTGTACAAAACCTATGACAGAAGGAGAAGAGTATCGAGATGAAAACTTTAAAGTCCATTACGGTCCGATGTATGAAATGAACAAAACCCTGTCAGCACTAAGACAGATATTAAACACAAACTGTTAAAGCGATATAAGGAGGACGTGATCTTGCCTGAGTAAACTTTCTTATTTTTAGCTCGACCTTTTTTCAAAAGAAAAGTATACTTTTTTTTGGAGTTAATGTAATAGTCATGTCATGCAATAACTTCTGAGAGTTGAAGCAAAAGATTCCTACAAATAAAAAAATGAAGCGTGTATAGTGTGTATACATAAATATATATTTATACTTCTTTCTTATGTTATTGAAATCTTCATAACTGATTGGAGTTTTTACAAAGTGTGTGATGTGACTTTAACTAGGAACATTATATTTATAATGAAATCATAAACTGATGGACATTCAATCAAAAGTTATTGAACGAACTCTTTTATAATTTATACATTTACATCTTAAAGGACATATTTTAACTAAGGTAACAATTATACCATAGATATGCTTATTCTTATTATGCCCCCCTTCGAAGAAGAGGGGGTATATTGTTTTGCTAATGTCGGTCTGTCTGTCGGTCTGTCCGTCGGTAGACCACATGGTTTCCGCTGATTATCTTGAAAATTATTTTTCACAAAGTCTTCATATTTCACATAGTGATTGGTCATAACTAGTAAATGACCCTTATTGATTTTGGGGTTACTAGGTCAAAGGTCAAGGTCACAGGGACCTTAAATATCAAAATGGTTTCCGCTGATTATCTTTAAAAGTATGTATCAAAAAGTCTTCATATTTCACACAGTGATTGGTCATAACTAGTAGATGACCCCTAATGATTTTGGGGTTACTAGGGCAAAGGTCGAGTTCACAGGGGCCTTAAATGTCATAATGGTTTCCGCTCATTATCTTGAAAACTATGTATCACAAAGTCTTCATATTTCACATACTGATTGGTCATAACTAGTAGACAATCCCTATTGATTTTGAGGTCACTAGGTCAAAGGTCAAGGTCACAGGGGCCTTAAAATGTCAAAATGGTTTCCGCTGATTATCTTGAAAAGTATTTATCACAACGTCTTCATATTTTACATAGTGATTGGTCATAACTAGTAGATGACCCCTATTGATTTTGGGGTCACTAGGTCAAAGGTCAAAGTCATAGGGGCCTTAAATGTCAAAATGATTTCCGCTGATTATCTTGAAAAGTGTGTATCACAAAGTCTTCATATTTCACACATTGATTGGTCATAACTACTAGATGTCCCTTATTGATTTTGGGGTCACTAGGTCAAAGGTCAAGGTCACAGGGACCTTAAAATGTCAAAATGGTTTCCGCTGATTATCTTAAAAAGTATGTATCACAAAGTCTTCATATTTCGCATAGTGATTGGTCATAACTAGTAGATGACCCCTATTGATTTTGGGGTCACTTGGTCAAAGGTCAAGGTCACAGGGGCCTTGAATGTCAAAATGGTTTCCGCTGATTATCTTGAAAAGTATTCATCACAAAGTTTTCATATTTCACTTAGTTATTGGTCATAAGTAGTAGATGACTCCTATTGATTTAGGGGTCATTAGGTCAAAGGTCAATGTCACATGGGCCTTAAATGTCAAAATGGTTTCTGTTGATTTTTCCATAATTGAACACTTCCATGTACCCATTTTTGGCAAGTTTCTGTAATAAAATTACCAATTATGTGAGTCAATGGCTAGAAAGGGGGGTATATGTGTCGTTCGACATTCTTGTTTAAAATTGTTTTTAGTGATTTTGGTGATAAGAATATAAGCATGCATACATATGGTGTTAAGGTACTTTTTTGCTTTTTGACAACAAGTAAAGGTTGTTTACATTTTACTACTTTCAAAAAATAAAAACTAGATATTGTCACAAGTGCCGATTACCCCCGACACGTGCTTGTCATAAAACGTGCTTTGAGTTAACAGTTTTGCAAAAGGGAGAATGCAGAAGTTTAAACACTTTTCATAAATTGTTTTTATTATTTTTCCTACATCAATAAAAAAAATAGGTTTTGATTGAAGTTTTTATGACTTCATAGTTCACAAGTTATGTCCTGGACAAAGATCAAATAGTAAAAATGAATAAAGGGCAATAACCCCAAAATAAGGGTAGGGTTAAGGCTCTTCCGCACAACACTTCTCCACAGTGAGGTCTATCTACCTACAAAGTTTCAAGTGATACCTGTTTTAGTTCTCAAGTTATGTCCAGGATAAAATTCAAAGTGATAAAAATAACTAATAAGCAATAACTCCATCATTTGGGATGAGAAGGTTACGGTTCGTTTTCACTGCACTTCTATTCAGTAATACTATATACCTACACAGTTTAAGTTGATGCCTTATATAGTTTTTAAGTTATGTTCCTGACAAAGTTCAAGGTGTATAAATGAACAAAGGGCAATTATTCCAAAATTAAGGAAGGTAAAGTTACGGTTCTTTTGCAGTGCAACTCTACTTAATGAAATCTATCTTACTACAAAGTTTCTTCATAATACCCCTATTCGTTTTAGAGTTATGTCCTGGACAATGTTCCACGTGCATAATAATCAAAATACAATAACTCTAAAGTTAGGCAAGGCAGAGTTACGGTTCTTTTGCAGTGTACTTCTACCTAATGAGATCTATCTACCTACAAAGTTTCGAATTAATACCCCTTGTCGTTATAGAATTCTGGAAACAAAGTGATCCCTCGGAAGCATTAATCACAACAAAATAACATAAGAATTGCAGACTCGGTTTGATTGAGTCTGTACATGAGGGATAATGAATAAGTGCAACATCCCTCACGCCCCTAGCACCGGCTTGAGCGGTACTCAATTCTCAACACTTTATAGTGTTGGCATCAATGATCCCGAAGGACCAGAAAATATAACAACACTGAAGTGAAGTACGGGGCAACTTTTTACGGCTGCCACACGGCACTTGACACCTGCTGTTGTGAAGTACAAAATTCTGGAAACAAAGTGATCCCTCGGAAGCATTAATCACAACAAAATAACATAAGAATTGCAGACTCGGTTTGATTGAGTCATGTCCCGGACAAAGTTCAAAGTATAAATTAAGAAGGACAAAAGCTCCAACATTAGGCAAGGCATTAGGCAAGGCAGAGTTACTGTTCTTTTGCAGTGTACTTCTTATTAATTAGGTCTATCTACTTACAAAGTGTCTTGTTCATATCCCGTGTCGTTTAGGGGTTATGTCCCGACTTAGTTCAAAGTGTAAAATAAACAAATGCCAAAATTGGGCAAGGCAGATTTATGGTTCTTTTGCACTGTACTCAATGAGATCTATCTACCTACAATATTTGAAGTAGATATCTCTTGTTCATGTCCGGGACAAGAAATCTGCAACCGACCGACCACCAGCTGACTCCAGTATACCCCTTTAAACTTCGTTTTTCGGAAGTATATTAAAAACAAATAGTTTCAAAGCATATTTCGTGCTAATCCTTTCAGGTCACGAGCATCTAACAAGATCTAAAAGCATTCCTGACTTGCTATAAAACTAATGTTTGTTCTTACTAAAGAATGATTTTTTTTTATTTATTTCAGTCTGAGGAATGTCGACCTTTCAGAAAGGAACAATTTAACTTAAACAGTTATCGGGAATGCAGCTTTCCTGACATAAGTTGTGCATTCTCCTGTGCAAATTAGAAATATATTGAGTGACAGCTTTATGGATTTTTATAAAACCTTGCAATAAAAGTATTTTACCCAAAGATGAGCAATGTATATCTTTAAAACGCGTGATACTTGCCAGATGTTTTAAAGGCTTAGATATCTCTTTGCACTAAGTTTTTGTCAAAAGTAATACATATGTTCTTGACACAGTTCCATTTCCTTCTTTAATTTGAAATGTGATGTAAATTCAACCAACAATATCAACGGAGGGTTTGCATGTTTCGCAGCAAGTCTTTCTGGATTCAGCTGTATAAACTGAACATTTACTTTTCACACAGCCATGGTACTTATCACCATATTCGCAACCTGCAAAAGATACTTGAAGGTTTCAAAAGGGCTTGACATATCAGTAGTGTACATATCCAGATGCTGTCAGTTTAATTTTAGTATTTTCCATATTTGTTTTTGATGAAACATTCAAGGGTTGTCAAGTTCATACAAATTACAAGTTTTATGTTAAAGAACCAGTTGGTACGTCTATAATTAAGCTTTGCTAATGTACTAATCAATTTAACCCCGGACCTTTGTCCAGGAAATAGTGGGATCTTTATCAAATACACAGAAAAAAAACCAAACAGGCAGGGACCGTTAGAATTTAAAATCTCCAGTAAATGTCTACCCGTTTTCGATGTTGACTGTGGAGTGAAAATAGATTAATGCATAAATTTTCAAATTTATTATATCTTTCCAATGAAAAGACGCCCGTGCGCCTGCGGATCGACTTTAAGTAATCAAAGTTTTATCTTCACAAATATGCAGCCTGTCACTGCGTCTGACAGTTTAAGAGTCCAAAACCAGGCATGTATTTGAACTTTGAAGTCTATACTATTACAGGCTTATTTATAAAAGGTGAATTGGTCTTTCATGGAAGGTTTGTGATACCACGAATAATTATGTTGACAGTAATTAGTATCATAGTTAAACAAACCATGACGTATTCATGCATGGGTATTGTTGGCAAGTGTAAGATACATGATCCGATTATATATATCTTTATATAGCAGATATATATAGCAGATGTTCTAGAACAGATATAAGGTACCTTTGTGGGATGGGTTATAGTAATGTCCACAAGAGCCGCAACAAACATCGGCATTCCTTCCGTAACAGTTATATGCATCTGCCTTAGATGCTATCAGAGCCGCACAATCTTTGCTTTTATCGCCATATTCACATCCTATAGTTTGATATATTGCAAGAAATATAGATTGGTGTATAAAATAGAGTGAAATAAGAATCCCTAAAGAAAGCCCAACGCAGCAAAATGGAAAATGTTGCAGGCTCGGTTTTATTGAGCCTGTTCATGGACGGTACTGTCAAGTGCAAACTACCGTCCACGCCCCCTAGCACCGGCTTAAGCAGAATTCAACATTTAATATGAACTGGTAAAATTTAGAATTTTGAAACATCCGCAGATGTGTTCATATGGCGGTTATCATATAAACCTGGCTATATCATGCCACAAATCCTGCATGTATCGAATCAAGGAATTTGATCCTATAGACACGGAAATCCGTACATGTATTGCATACAAGCGTAATAAGGTAGAACTAATTCATTAGTTACTCCTAAAACTTTAAGTTGGTGTAATTTTTTGGTTTGACAGATCTGAAACTGAATTGTTATGGAATTGCAAGAAATAATGAGGCATTATGAATTTGATATGACATTACTTGAACTAATACAATGCAGGACAATGCTGAAACTAATGCGGCCTGTCTTTGATGAAACTTATTTGATATGATAATGCTGGAACACTCTAACCTACACCCTTGGCCTTGTTAAATGCTCTCGTACCGTTTTAAGACAAATTTGAATGAATATAGCAAGTTAAATCTCCTGACTCATTTAAATCAATAATATATACCATTGTAACAAATCCGCTGCACAGTCTCTTTTTCACGGACTTTCTTGTTACTTAAGACATTTCTTGCATCATCCACCAAATACTGTCAACCAGTTAACAATATATAAAAAGTCATCCTGGCAAACAATAACTGCTTATCGTTGAGCGATAATGGCAAAATACAGGTTATAATGCACATTTGTACAGTCTAACCAGATTCTTAACTACTGCTAGAAGTTTGTTCTGATATCCCACAAACTTACAAAAATTACTGCCGTTACATCTGAATTGCTTCTAAGTTGATAGAAGAAGATGTGTAATCTCAACGCATGTTTTATAATCAGAATTGAAAACTTCATACTATTCTATTGACTAACTAACCAGAATTCGATGCATTTAGAAACTGTCCACATGATCTACAACAAATGTTAGCATTGTTGCCGTAACATTGGTAGCCATCAGAGCGGGATTTAATGAGGTCTGCACAGCCAGTGACATCTTTGTCCCCATATTCACAGCCTGAAACAAATAAAAAACCAAAGTATTAGCAAGCTTATTTCATTTCTTTTATGAAACGTTTTGTGCAATGTGTTTAAAACGTAATTGCTTATGTATGTTTTATATGATTAATATAAACAACATTAAAAGCTTGCATTACAATATCAAAGCATACATTGTAAAAAAATGTTTCTTGGATTCATTATCAAAGTAATGAGCAATAGCATGCTATAAGAATGTGTAAAGTAAATATTTTGTCATAGCTCACGTAATTTATTTACTCGTATATATACCAAGGGGCAGGACGTGAAGTGGTTGCACACTTGGTTCAAGCGAGCGAATTAGTTGCAAACTTGACAAAATGGCGAAAATGGTGTGATTTTTTGAAACGGGTGAACGAAATTTTGGCAGGCAAGTGGGTTTCTTTGTTATTTTAAGTTCATTAGTATGTCTATTCCATAATGCAATATATATGCCACACTCGGTTAAAGGTTTCAGCATCCTAGATTCTGTTTTGACGAAGTTACTGCAGATATAAACTGATCATGTGGATATTTTGAAATTTGACATGTGACTGTTCTGGTCGGTTTTTCTCCTAATTTATTCGAATTTGTAAGTTTTGAACTGCATTTAACAATAACAAAATATGTTTCTGTCAATGCTGTACAAATGGTTTAGTACGCAAGTCCGAAGATAACGTTCAATACACAAAAATATATTGTTCAAGCACATTTTGGTTGCAGACTTATACTTCAAGCATTTTTGGTTGCAAACTTTTGTGTCAATAATGTGGCATGCATTTTTTTAGCGAGGAATAACTTATCTTTTTTTCTTTTTTTTAATAATTAGCAATATTAAGGCAATTATACCTGTTCATCTAATAAGAAATATATATACAAATTGTGCATGCGTGAAGATATATCCTAACACAGGGTCTTTCAAATAGATATCTAACACAATATGCTAAATTGAAGTTCAGTTGTGTTTATCTTCATCATTCTTTCTCTTCGATATACTTCTTGCCTTTTTACAAAGTCTTAGGACTTTTTTTTTATCTTGGCATGACTAACAGTAAAGGAAAAGAAGAGAAAAATAGCAACAAACAGCTTTCATTATTGTTCTTTTTTGAGATTTGACATAAATTTGATTATATAGTAGATACAAACTATATTAACATTGACACAAGGGCATTATTCACATGTTTCTTTAAATTGTTCCTTATTATTGACCAATCGAAACATCTTCCAAATTCCCTAACTCGAACAATGACTTTAAGTAGTTTTGTCACGTATCAGTCAATGTAAATTACCAATCGTATATCATTTATATTATGATCTAATAATCAAAATCATCTTTAGAATACCAATTGACATATGATATGCACATCAAATCCGAAATATTGTAAACAAGCATGTCATTTTAACTTTTGGTTTATAAGAATATTTTAAGTACATTTACATACTTTATGTCTAAAGCAACTGCTGATCTTTACATACGAAACAAACAAAATAACATTTCTTGTGGTTTTGATAAACTTTGGAAATTTTGCCGTGTAACATCGTATGTGTGCACATGTCCTTATGTTTATGATGAAAATAATTCACTTACATACAACAGTACTCTCACATACGTTTGTTTTGTATGTAGTTTTCATTTGCATTTTACATATGATGACATATTTTAGAATTGAAGCATCAATAAATATTTTTCTATGTGCTATTATTTTGTTTGCAGGCTTTTACTGATGATTATAGTATTGAACTGAGAACCATGTAATTTGAAACATAAAGTACATACTTATTGTAAAAGAAGAAAGTATAAATAACATTTATAACAAAAACAAGTAAAAGAACATAAATGTCAATAATTGCCATTGAAAAACTTCTACACTCCTTTTGCAAAGTTTTACTATGGATTTCAATAGAATAAGAATAAGTTTGCAACCAAAAATGCTTGAAGTATAAGTCTGCAACCAAAATGTGCTTGAACAAGATATTTTTGTGTACTGAACGTTATCTTCGGACTTGCGAACTAAACCATTTGTACAACATTGACAGAAACATATTTTGTTATTGTTAAATGCAGTTCAAAACTTACAAATTCGAATAAATTAGGAGAAAAACCGACCAGAACAGTCACATGTCAAATTTCAAAATATCTACATGATCAGTTTATATCTTCAATAACTTCGTCAAAATTAAATCTAGGATGCTGAAACCTTTAACCGAGTTTTGCAAATATATTGCATTATGGAATAGACATACTAATGAACTTCAAAATAACAAAGACACCCACTTGCCTGCAAAAAATTCGTTCACCCGTTTCAAAAAATCACACCGTTTTCGCCATTTTGTCAAGTTTGCAACCAATTCGCTCGCTTGAACCAAGTGTGCAACCACTTCACGTCCTGCCCCTTGTATACCGGTTAGATAGAACTTAAGTGCGAAACTTCCTCGGTCATGCCAATGACTCCTTACATGTTTTTTACCTTTAGTAAGTTTATGTTATTTCAAAAACTAACAAGAAAAATAAAAGTATTTAATAAAATAACTACATGACCGTCCTCAACTACATTCTTTTAATATCTATCTTGACTTGTCATTTATTTTAAAACTTGTCCAAAAACAATGTCATGCATGGATTTACCGTTATGTGCTTGTATAGTGAGTTTTGAATTTGAATATCTCGTCCAAAATAGATTAAATACAAATATGTAAGTGTGATACCTTTCTGAGATGGTGTATAGTATTTGCTGCAAGAGGAGCAACAAATATTGGCATTATCACCTCGATAGCAACTAGATGGGTTAGACGCTATCAATGCCTTGCAAGACTCATGTTTGTCACCATATTCACATCCTAAATAACAAAAGTTTTATATACTTGAAATCTAGATTGATCTTAAAATAATTTGAAGCCCTGACTTTAACTTCCAAATGATCTTTTGTTATTTCAACAGCTCACCATATTGTCTAAATAAATAAATAAATAAAATGGGTACACATTTAGAAATGAAAAAGTTAATGTCTTACATATAAGATATCAATGTCCTATGGTATCAATATTGTTATGTTTGAATTGACGAGTTTTTGAAATATTTTTAACTTTGATACATTTTTTACTGACCGATTTTGATAAAAAAATATATTAAAAGATAAATCTGTACTAAGACAATTGATATACTTTTATATATCCAAGACGGGTTCTCTTGTTTAAATTGTTTCTCATTATTACACATGTACATGTAGATCTACAAATAAAGAATAAAAGTGCTTCTGACTTTGATATCAATTATGTCAGACTTATAGTGACTGACCTGGTAGCAAAAAGTATTCATGAGGCAAGAAATATCACCAAAATTGTGATGGTTCTCAATAAAGATAACGAAGAAACTATAGGAAATAACTACCTTTAACATTTGTTCTGACATCTTCACACGTTTTACAACATTGTCTTTTAGTATAGTTGTTGTAACATGCCCAGTTGTTGTCGTGCTGTCTTATTTCTGCGCATGTCATATTGCTGTAGGAAACGGATGGGTCATTGTCAAGGTCTCCCACTGGACAGTCATCTTTTAAAATTAATATAAATATAATAAAAATGTGGTAATTACTTTTTCGTTGAATACTACACTAAATCTAGTTGCCCTTTAAGTAAAAATGTGAATATAAATATGATTAAATTTTTTACACTTATTCCTACAGACAATATTTGGACAACTTAAAGGGACAAATTAGAGCAAACTATTGATGAGCGAGTTGGACAAAGTGAATGATTCATCAACATTGTTTTTTTCGAATTGTTTTATATCATGTGATTGTGAATTTATTAATAACAAAACTTTCGTAAATAAATGACTTAATATGAGCACTCACCGGACACATCTGGTGCGTTAGAATCTTGAACACACTTCCTGTCTATGCACCACTGTTAATAAATAAGAAATTAAAGTCCTAATGCCTAATCATATCATTTAAAACTTTGTAGAAATGTTAATGAAGTATATTCTTTCCCGGATATTATTAAGTTTATTAAGTCAGTAAGGATGCAATTATTTAAACTTTATTTAGTATAATAAATATATTTGCATTTCTGTCCATGTACCTTTAAAAGATCTGCAATTTTATTGATCGCCATTTTATTTTTCAATAAAAATGAAAGTTCAAATGAGCGTCTACAAAACAAAGCGTACGGAATGTCAGATAGACACAATTAGACGAGAATAAACAAATTTAATCCCGTAATGAAAAGAAAACTTTAGTTTTTGTTAGTATCTGAAGCGAAGATCATAATTCAGACATACCTTTTTGTGTCCACATGGTGTTTTATCATAAGCATATATAGATGAGCAGCTATCAGAGGTATTTAAACAGTAAAGGTCTTCACATAATATTTCGTAAGACGATTCCCGATAACTTCGTCCACTCTGCAATATAAATTGTATTTGACATCAATGGCGTTCCATAGAATTGTGATTAATTTTAAAAATGAAAATTAATAATAAAAAAGATATAAGCTGGATAAATTATGTAATTTTCTTACCTTTTGTACAATATAACTTAATTGTCCAACTATAACTTCGAATTTGTTCTATATGTCGATACTATATAACCTGGAAGCATTTAAATGTTTTCATTTTAGCGTTCCTTCTATTTAGGGAGGAAATGAATTTCTCAGTTTAATACTATTTTTATACCAATACTTGTACTGTCAAAATAATGATGCTATGGATAAGAAATGAGTTAATACAACTTCTGATCTAGTTAGTCTGTTAAATTATATTTTTGTTTCTATTTGTCATACATTTACACTTGGATTGTGTTACTAAATTTTATCCTATGAAAATCACAAATATGCAATACGTGATTGAACAATATATACTTTGCTTGTTATATAACTTTCTTTTTGAATTTGATTAGATTGTACCATACACATTCCTTTACCATTATGCCAACCACTGTTGATTAACCCGATTTATAGCCATGAAAAATATGATAAACAAGATCAACAAGGAAATGCGCCGTTCAATGAACGCAAAGTTCATGATTAATCAAAACCACGCCGTTTGCAACTTTTGTGCACTAAGTGCTTTCGCAGAGCTCGGTTGATTGACAGGGTGGTTGAATTAAGTTGGCATACCCTGCACAAGTATGAGTGGGGACCCAAAGCCGCCTTGCATTGGTCATCAACCGGCACTGATATGGTCTGAGCAGTTTTACAAGAAACACAACATTTCTGTTTGACGCTTTGTCGTAAACAATCATTAGGACGAGTTGCAGCAATTTGTTTACAAGTAAGGTTGTTATGCACCACACCCTCTGCGTCGCCGAAAGGACAGCTGTCATCTGTAACATATATCAAGTAATATCCTTACGAGTTTAAGTAAAAAATATTCCAAAGTAAATTGTCAAAATGATTACATATAGTTTAAGAAAGGGTGTTCCAATAGAAAAAAACACTTTGACAATTTTATGCCATTACTTTCTTATGTCTGGTCTCTGCGTTATTATTCCCTTTGTTTACTTTTTTCAATTGACGCTTATTGTGCAAATATGTATATTTCGAAGCACAGTATGTTGAATTAAAGCTATTGTGGTTCTACAATTTAAGTAACAGAGAATGAAACGTTTTATACCATGTGATGACGGGGCTCTGCTGTCCTTCACACAGTTATTGGACACACACCACTGAAACGGAAATAAACATTAACCATACAGATACTTAGATAAGAGGCATAGTTTCATTCTTTACATGTTCACGGGGGAGGAAGTGTTACACGAAGGATGGAGTTCTTGTGATAACTTGTTCAGGAGTTCTTGTGATAACTGTCACGGAGTTCGTCGGAAAACATCTGTATATACTACAAAAACACTCATCAAAAATGGTTATTTTCATCTTTCCAAAATGAGTTTTAGGTGCTAAATTAAACTTTAATGATTAAGCTTGTCTTACATCCTGTATTATGTGTCAAAAACTAATTCACAGGCTAATTTTCATCGCCTCTTGCTTCAAATCTGGTAGTTTTGAGTAAAATTTCCAAATTACTTGCCAATTCACAAGTTTTGACCTGTTTTTGTGTGGCCTTCATCCTTTCTATACAAAATTACCTAATTATAATGCAAAATTGCAAACATAAAGCACCGGCTTACAGATTTATAGCCGATTTTTCAAATGTCCCGGAGTTCTTGTGATAACTCTGAAGATGTCACAGAGTTCTTATGATAACTTTTGTTATTGCTAGTGTGTTTCTTTGGCTAAATCACGGCACGTTTTGGCGTTTATTATCATTCAATAAGATTGTAAATCATTATGAAATGCAGTACGATCATCCTTTGCACAAAAAATGTGGATAAAACGTTGGTATTAAGTGTCTGCAAAGGATAAATAGATGATAGGCTATCATCTACAGTAAAAATTGAACCAGCGGCCACTGATATTCAGCAGTATAATAGCTTAAACCACAAAACAAAAATGTCTCAAAACGTACACGTTGTTCTCAGTTTCACATGTTTTAAGCAACCACATTTCTTAAGCAGACAATATATAGGCATGCTTCCCTTACCTTAAGGCTAAGTAATTTGTATCATTTTATACCATAATAAATAAGTATATAACCAGGATAATTTCCACACCTATGTCTTAAAAAAAGTACGATACATGATAAAAGCTCAACTGCGGTTGGCTCTAACTACCAATCTCTCGAAAAAATTTGAACTGTCCCTCCAGATTCCAGATTTACCTAGAATGGGATTTCAGTTATTGTGCATGGGCATTCAAACTATAATTCCCCAGGTGTTGCTTGTAAGTGTCGCACGTCCTCTAATGTAACTTAAAACAACAGACAAAACTCTGAAACATATTAATCGCTGTACTATTATAACTGCTGTATTACGTAGAAAACAAATGTTTCTCTGATTGATGCAGTAACATAGATGCTGTACTGAGAAAAAATAGACTGTATGCCTGGATGAAAATGATAAAGGGCCAGAAACCTGCTAGGGGCTGGAAACTGCTAGGAAACCAGTACATAAATCATTTTTCAAATCTACGAAATCTAAGTCAAACAAAAAAGAATACTATGAAAAAGAAACAGGGGGAAAGAAAAAATATCTCTTGAACTAAAATGATTTACAATCTCAATGAATAATTAAAAAACGCTAAAACGTGCCGTGATTTAGCGCAAGGAACACTTGCAATAACAAAAGTTATCATAAGAACTCTGTGACATCTTCAGAGTTATCACAAGAACTCCGGGACATTTGAAAAATCGGCTATAAATCTGTTAGCCGGTGCTTTATGTTTGCAATTTTGCATTATAATTAGGTAATTATGTATGGCAAGGATGAAGACCAGAAATAAACAGGTCAATACTTGTGAATTTGCATATAATTTGAAAATTTTACTCAAAACTACCAGATTTGAAGCAAGAGGCGATTAAAAATGGCCTGTGAATTAGTTTTTGACACATAATACAGGATGTAAGACAAGCGTAATCATTAAAGTTTAATTTAGCACCTAAAACTCATTTTGGAAAGATGAAAATAACCATTTTTAACGAGTATGTCTGTAGTATACAGATGTAGTATACAGATGTTTTCCGACGAACTCCGTGACAGTTATCACAAGAACTCCTGAACAAGTTATCATAAGAACTCCATCCTTCGTGTAACACTTCCTCCCCCGTGATGTTTGTAATGTCGATTTCTATAAGATAATCGTGAGGGTATCATAATCTCTTAACACTTTACCCGACGATTGTAAAATTATGAAGTAATGATCATTGCACCGTGAATAACGGTAAATAAACTGTCATGAAAAATAATTTTGACATGGTATGGTCATGGAAATGTGTGAATCATGAATTTAAGAAACAGCATCACTTCTAAAACACACGAAAGCCAGTGATGAATTAAGTGATTGTAAGATCACCAGAAGATGACCTCTTTTTGGTAACAATCAGATCCTTAAGCGTAGCGTTCAATCTCCTTTTTCAAGACTTGGTAAATATTACATTTTGTTTGCTATAACCTGATATAAAATGTGAATTATTTGTTATTGTTACGAGTTTTGTTTTTGTTCTTTTTATGAAATTACAAACCATTGGCTATCTTCGTATTTCGCACGATAAGGTTTATACAAGTCCAGGGATGCCACTTGTAATAACGCATTCGTTTGAGGTCCATCGTAAAAAAGGCGTGCATTTTTAGGCATGTCTAGGACAATATTGTTTGATGAGATGTTTGATATAGCTGACATTTAAAGAACCTTTTAGGATAAAATACTGTGAATTCATGACAAACGTTTTACAACATACCGATGTCTCGATTTCGTATTGACATGCAACATACTTACAGACCCAGCAGCGCACGGCGTCCCATCTCCACCATCTTGCATATAACAGGTATCCTCCTTCGGATTGTAGCAAAACATTTTCAAACAAAACTCCGTAAAATTCTGTTTGTAAACTTCCTAAGATAAGTAGAAATATTGCGTATTGCGTTACACTATCAAACACTGAGAAAAACTCTTTTTTTTTCGTAATTACAAAATACATTGTAAACAATGGTAGGGATGTCAGCTTCGGGATACCTTATATTAAAGCATTTTTATAAAATAATATATTAAAATATACGCCGCTTAAAAGACACAAAAATTACCTTTGCGTAAAATCCTACTCTTAACATTTATGCAATTGTTAAATTTAAATCTTATTACTTTATTCAATAAATCGTTTCGTCATACCCTGCACATATACGAGCCTTTTCCTTGGGCAATGACACACTGTTCATCCACAGAATATAGTTCCCCAACCCACTTTTGTGAGGCTAATGCAAGAGCTGGTTTAGGGTGGTGGTCATTGACTTTTGCTAAGCAGTTCTTGTGGAGTCTTTTGAAAAAATAAATAACATTTTTTTATTCAGCATAAAAATATATTTTTGTAGTAAAATATAAAAAAGGATTTTTTTTTAGATACAATGTATTTGGAATTATTTTGTGAAGGAAGTTTAACATTAGGTTATATTCACGTGCACGTTTACACAGTACATTTATTTCTTGAAAAAAAAACTTTGTTTTTCATGTTAAAGGTTTTGTTTCAGGAAATAGAAATAAGGTATCGGTATGCTTGATTTTGAGTTATTTTTCGTTTGAAAAATACATAAAAAAAGAGTACAAAACTCACATGCAGGGACAGATAAATGAACAAAAATTAGGATGGTGACCCCACTTTGTTTACATCATTACATCGCTCCTTATAGTACAAATTGAAGACGTCTCACTGTTCACTTGTTAAAATTTTCATTATCTGCCTATCCGATAAAACGAAATATAACTTTGGGATTTCAATGTCTTTCAATTAAAATGCACTTTTTTCTTATAGAATTTACCTATTTGTCCGGTTAACAAATTCTTGGATGTAATCAATGGAGCATGACGAGAATATCCATTTATTCTTGTTGTTTTTAACATAGGATGCCTCCATGCAATAACCCAGACCCACTTTACACGTGTTGTTTGTGCCATCGTGCTCGCAACCTAAACTGCAAAAGAAATAATTATATCAACATAATTGAAATTTTTAAACGTGCATACTCACATTTAAAACGATTAATTAGGAAATCTATGAACTATTGTACATATGTATTTGCTAATGGAAAACAAAAATACATAACATATTGAAAATACCTGCGACTTCATGGGAATATTGATTTTGATTTACTATTGTATAAACCTATGACTGAATGAAACAAAAAACAAGAACAAAAAATATAACAAACCTGTGACCTAGTTCATGTGCAATTGTTTGAGCTGTATACATTTCCTCACTATCCTCTACAATTGACTGGCTGGTTGGCTTACACTCAGCACCGAGAACTGCGTTACCTGTAAGATTTCTGCATTTTACCAAATGAGAACTTAAAACCATTCTAGTTAGTGTCTTGGTCACCGGTACTTTACTTAATTACTAAATAACTAGAATCGACGCTATCTCGGAAAAAAACACATACTTTTAAAGATCTAAAAATGAATATCTAGAATTTAAAATACAGAACATAGCAAAATTTCACACAAGACTATTTATGTTTGCCTCCTATATTAAAAGTCTAGAGTTTTCAACAACATTGCATTTGTTCGTTCTTGACGGTTTTAACTTACCTGCATAGGTCTTAGTACCATTTTTTCCGAGAAGCAAAGTATACCTGTAAAGAAATATTTATTAGTTATATACATTTAGTTTGGACAGGGTGCATCATTTCACCATTCTCAACACGCTTACAATCAGTAACGACTCGACGAAGAAAACTAAAAGAATGTCGTTGAAATTGTCGAATCGGTAGTAATACAATTCAATTATATTCAATTTATGTGAATCATAAATCTGATGAGAGAGCGGGAAATTTGTCATTTGTGTTCATGAGTCGTCCTATTTATCAATTCAAGTCATTTCACCGGCATGCAACCCATACACAAATGAATCCGGCCGGGTATGGGTATCGTAGCGTTTTGTCTTCGTTTCTGCTAGTAACAGTGGTGAGCTTGCGATGTGCCTCATGCCGCCAGAAAATAACTCAGCTGTAAATCTCTCCGATGACCCGTACATCTACCTCTACAAAAAGTAATGGCTGCGTCGGTTTACACTCCAATTGGTAGGTTTACTATAGAGACACCGGAGGTTCACCGGCCGGAAACTTTTACAAATTTGACAATATCATCCCGTTCAGACACCGGTATTGTTTGGTTTTATTAACATGTCAATTACATACTGATTACACGGTCGATGCACACATTATATTAATCTTAGGTAGATTTTCGGTAAGTTCCGTGTGATGTACGCTTCACGGTGGAATTCAATTTAATTTGTATCTCTTAACAAGGTGTACTAAGCGTTATAGCGCAATATTTAGGGTAAAGCAAGAGTTTAATTAAATTATAATCTAAGTACCACACGTGTTTTAAGTTCGAGACCGCGTTGGTCCATGTTTTTTTCTTATTAATACGTTCAACATTATTGAAGCTATATATGATTATTTTATGTTGTTCGTTTTGTTTTATTATGTTTTACTTAATTTTGTTAAGTCTATACTCTTTTTAAATAACATGCTTTAAGAATTCATATTTAAAATTAAAACGGATTAAAATCAATAAATGCCTTTTCAATGCCGTAAAACACACAACAAATCTGTTCCTTTAAAATATACTGCAAAAATAAATAAAGGCCAACAGTAAGGATCGAACCACAGACCTCTCAATTATCAGGCATTCTCTTTACCGACTGTCCTATTGTGAATTAACGAAAACCTTCACTTTAAGCTGGCGTGTCTTTCAAAACATGACTTATATACTCCACATTAAGTCTCGTAAACTACACGGACCAAACCGAAGTGGGATCGAATATTTAAATGAGTCCTATAATGTGTTCATAATTGACAGGTCAATAAAATCAGACTATACTCTATCGTAAATCGGAGTGTGTTTCTGACGCAGCCATTATTCTTTGTAGTGTGAAGGAACAACTCGACAGAGAAAACGGTTGCAAACGATTTGATTTTTTCGGAAGTAATTCAATTATGATAGTAAATGTTAAAACTGAACAAAACAAACAAGACAAAGCGAATTATAAATCGTTTGAGTCATCGTATTAATCAATTCAAGTCATTAAAAATTAACAACTTTATACCGCACCTTCCTCATCAGAACAAACATGCAATAGGTAGAATTTTAAAAGCAGTTATCTTTAACTATAATTATTGAATAACCAGATATTTGTAATTTTCTACAAGCTTATATGAAAAACAATGTCCCTATAATGATATTTTTAAAGCTTTTTTCTTGTTATATTTGTAAAACATTGTGGAAACAGATAAGAATCGATAATGCTTTTATATTTCGTTTTTATATTTAAATTTGTACTTTGAAAAAAAAAGTAATGTATTTGTAAATCGTTTTTATATTCAAATTAATACCTTGTAAATAACATGGCATGGTCGTGCGGAATGGTTTTCTGTAATTCTATAGACTTTGGATTGAATTTTGAATGGACAACATAAGGGTCAATGAAGTACGTGTCGTTGACCTTGAACTTTGTAGTCTCTGTCCAAGGGGAGTCAGCCTCTGTCTAGTGTAAATATATAGTGAAATTATAAATTTTGTCTCCGGCAAAGAAAAACATGAAAAAGAGATACTGTCCTAAGATGATAATTTGGTCTTAACGGTACATGGGAAAGTCGAAATACGGGGTTATCTGGCTTATTATCCGATATCGTAATAGTAAATACTTACTGATACTATATAGCTTTATTCTTACAGAATCGTTTGTATATTACCGTTATGGCTCTGTCGGTAGGTCGGAGTAATTGTAACTATTAGTGTTTTGTACTCATAGGTTCGAACCCCACTTAGTGTCATTTTATAACCACATTTTTTTCTTCTTACTCTGTTTTTTTTTATCATTATTCTTTATTTATTTTTCGTTTTCCTTTTTGTTTTCTTCTTATAATATATATTTTATAGTATATATTTATTTTTTTTATTTCCATTCTATTTTCTTTTTGTATTTTTTATCGCAGTGTAATAAAATATTCCAAATCACATTCATGTATGTATATGAAAAAAACGGTCAAACTTGTTTTCTGAACAATTGGCTGTTCTGAGGTAAAAAAAATGTGTCTTACCAGTAGTCGAACTTCTGCCTGTACGGGTAAAACACATTACTGACACGGTTGCTCTACCTACTGCGCTAACAAGTCATATGATAATATGTAGTTTTATTTTCATTTTTATAGGTTGTGGCATTGATCTGCCTAACCTATTTTTCGCATTGTTATTGGTCTTTGTTATGTAAACAAAGGCTCAAGTTATCATCCTAGGACAGTAAATACAATAAAAAAAACAAAAACAAAAAACACAACACACATAAAAATCATACATTAATATACACATGTATTAGGGTTGCCAACAGATGCAGCTTTATATTAAAAGAGTAAGTTTTTCTGAATACCTTATATTTATCAGGATATTCTTTATTAATTAACAAGCTTAGATACGTTTTAAATCTTTGACATGATTATAATTAAAATTGTAAAACTATTAAGTGGACAAACATGACACATGTGAGACTTTCCACCTTTGATTATTCGATAAAGGAAATGGTGCGACCTAGATACGGACCAAGTTTAAATGGCAATCGTCACGTTTATTCCTTTAGGTTGTCACGATATAGGTCATAATTTAGATTAAAGCCAATGACACGAAATGAAGCTTTTACTTTATTTAATTTTTTCTTACTTGTCTTCTATTCCCAAAATCATTAATTCAGCTTCAAGACTGATTTCTATCAGCATTTCTTTTTCAATTCATTGCAAGAAACAACAAAGACAACAAAAGTTGTAAAACTCGAACTCGTGACAGAATGTTTGATTTTATGCAATCCCGAGTTTCACTAGGTTCACAAGCCTCACATTTACCATTCATTGGCAATTATTCAGTTATACAGAATTCTTTAAGACCAGTTTTCCCTTTTTAAAGTATTGTTATTAACTTTTGTATACAAATAAAATGAAACATTACTCGCACTTTATCATAGACAAAAAGTACGGTCATTGCTTATGGTTTAAATATTCCAATAATAAAAGTCATTACAATTATGACATTTTTCTCAAAGATTTTCATACAAAGGTCAAGTTCAGTACTATTTTGAAGATTGTTACAATTATCAAGGTCAAAATAAATTTCAAGATCATGTTAAGGACATAAGGATTATCAAGGCTTGTACAATTTTGAAGGATTTAACAAAGTACACAATTTAAGGCTCCAAAATAGTTAAATTTGAAAGATTAAGCAATACGCCGATTGAGTCTCTATAGATAACCGCATAACAATGACAAAGGTCGGTGAAGTTTTGAAGGTTCTTCCAAAAACACTTTATTCAAGGTCGAAATATTAAATAGAAATGTCATAATACATAGGCACGATTAAATTGAAACAAACATTAACTTTGTGGTGTCACACTTTGATCCTCATAAGACACGGACTGTGATCGAAAATGTATTGACGACTTTAAGTGGATTAGTTAACGTGAAATTATACTTACTGTCATGATGAGTAGGTCTACGATCTTTATTGATATGAAAAGTCCATGTGCCTCCAGTCTCTTATAAACGAGGTTTGCCTAGAAAAGAAAACATTTATAATATTCCTGTAGGTTGAAAAAAATTGTCTTCCAAAATTTGACATTTTTTCTTATCATTAGTATATAGATGTGTTATATGTTTCTTTTCCAATTAATACAGCTGAAAAATGTTTAATATATAATTTCTTTCCTCGTTTTTACATTCATCGGTCGTATCGATTTAAAAAATGAGGTGAAATGGTACCTTATTATAACCCCTCAGTATTTGTATCATGTACACTTCTAAAAGGCCAATGAGAGTTATTCGTACTGCTATATCAAGTGTACCATATGACTAAAAATTTTGTACTATAACATAGGTAACAGTACTTATTCACTGTAAAAATTTGAAAAATAAAAACGCTATAGACCCTTTCATTTAAGACCGTATTTAAGTTGTCGCCCTTGGATGACGTCATTGGGGGATACGGTGGACAATGCCGATACGATTAAGTACACTAATACAGGGATATAAAGATCTTAATTCTTTATCTTGTAAGATTGGCAGATTGAATTTGCCAAAATTGTGTGTAATTGAATAAGATATTACATAAAAAGGATGGGGAAATGAATAAAATTGTTTACTATAATAAGGTTAACGATTTGGTTTTAATACTGGACCATATTGCTGGGTAACTGATCATGATTACCATTTTCGTTAGATTCTTAATAATGAAACTTTTACCAGGCAGTCAAATCGTACTAACTTGCTTAATTAATATGATGTATCTATATCTCTGCTAATATACAATACCAATAAACAATACCCAAACGATATTTTGAGTTTCAAAAATGTAAGGATTCTGTGGTTTCGATAAACGGCTGCGTAATAATTAATTGCAAGTTACTGGTTTATTAAAAATCATTTTGATTTAAGTATTACAAAGACAAAGAAAAACAACAATATAAATCTATGCAATTTCAAAAAAAATTAAGGCATTAAAAGTTAAAGTTCTTTTGAATGTACATGATTGTATACTATTTGTGTCGGCAAAAACTCGTACATCTCACCAATATATTTAAGCTGGTAAAGTAATATGTTTAACTTGATACTTTTTAATTCATACTCTGCTTATCAAACAGTGTCCCAATGAAGCATTTGTTTGAGGTAATAAGATAAATAACACAAAGGTCGTGAGTTACAGCAAAAGTATCATCATTCCTCATTAAAACACTGTTACCTTCGACGTGCGCCTCGCGGTAACGTAATTTCCCTCGGGATGTCACTGCTACTCATAAACCTTTGTGCTATTTATACACACATCGGTATTTTAAGAGCCAATTTAAAACACAAAAACTATTTTAACTGAAACACTTCAAAATTATAAAGTAAACTCACGGTATGAATCATTGTACCAAGCCATGTTGTTAAGTTTTGTTTTGCAATTTCTATCTTATTTGCCTCAGGAAGAGAAGGGTCTAAACGCTCATACCACCTGTTACATAAAAATGTAAGCTAATATATTTGTTTTGATATGCACCCTTAATTGATAGAATGTTTCTGCTTTAACTTGTATGTGAAAAGTCTCGCAGGTCATTAAAAGAGCAAACTGAAGCAGAGGAAGTAATAGCTCTGTTTTATACATGTATGAACGTTGAAAGTAGAAAGAATGCAATATGTTATTTTGTTGCTCACATATTTAGGAACGTGTACGTTGTCTGTATAAGTATAAGCTACAATACTTGGGGAGTCTTGATATTTGCATCATCTAGTTCAGAATATTTATAAACTTGTTCCGAAGTCTCGTCAAACTCAAGCAATTAATATTTTGTATGCATTGCATTTGTAAAGTCAAACTTTAAAGACTGGTTGAATTGTTAAAGTTGTATTACGAGAATAGCAACATGAAAAGTAATTCCAATTGATGGTAACCAGTCATTTTTTTATAGCTTGCTACTATTCATTTTTAATTTCTTTCCGCATCATTGTTTTTCTTTTTATTTGTGATAACAAAAACATTTTCACCGGGATAACCTATACTTGTAAATAAACATTATATTATTATACAAAGGATTATGTAGGAAGTGTGGATGAAAATCAAGGACGTCCATATACTTATTGAAGATGCTATAATCGGCCACGGTGACAATTTCGATTTCCAGCGGTGTTTCTGCACGTCTTCCGATCTGTGAAACCTCTTCCAAACATGATACTTCTGAAATAATGGAACTGATTAATAAATCCGGAACGAATTGCTTGGAAAAAAAAGCAACTTATTTATCAGCATTTTTAATTATCATATTTTATCAGTATTCATTTAATTACGTTGTATTTATTGTCATCTTTCATTTTCAAATATCTTCCTTTGTTTTTTTTTTCTTTGCTATTTTGCTTTGGAATTTGTAAATTACGATTTATAGATCTAGTTTTTTCTTGCGTTATACTGATTAACTCCACTCAATCAATAATTGTAATAAATTAGATTCTACGAAATCACTGCTTCATTTTATCTAGAGGATTTGTACTGCGAGTCTTACTGGTTTAAACAACACTTTTCCCTTCATTCTGAAATGTCACGAATATTTTGACTTTATCCATGTTATCAGCTGTTTAATAACAATCTATGAAAATGATATACATATGTTTATTAAAAAAACCTGAAGGGGATGAATAATCACGATAATCTGTAAACTGAATAATACTGTCACATGCATATGTCTAAAATGCTGCTAAAATCCTTTTTTTTAAATTATTTTCGAAAACTGTCAACGTCAAGGAAAAACGTTGCAATTTAAAGACAATTCAGTTCTTCTTTAAAAAAGATGTTAGCAATTCGTTTACACTGCTGATGTTGCAAAAAAGAGAAACTGTAAATTGTCATCATATTTTTTGTCTAAAATGTTTTGTTTTTTTTTAATCATAGTAACTTACCGTTTATGAAAAAGAAAACAAGTGAAATCGCTAAACATTTAAAGACAATCATAGTGAAAAAAAATCGATTTGAAATAATATGTCCCTTCCTTTTGACCTTAGACCTGTCAATGATAGTTCAACGTTTTCTTTGTGTGTTTTTATATACAAAACAGAGTAAAAGACGTTATCTTTAGTTTGACCTACATAACGTCAGTCAATCTTGAGAAAAAATTTGGACAATGTTTCCTCTTCTGGGTTATCACTTAAAAAGCAATTCCTTGTATTTCTATTAATAGAATGTCTATTGCACGATTTTAACTAGACTCTGGGACAAGGTTATGTAGATTTAAACTTCACATGCATATCAAGACTCTTCTTTTCAAGTACCGTAACAAGTCGAACAAGAAACGAAACTGTAACTAATGTAGCAAACCAGTCAAACACAGAGGCGGTGACCAGGTTTAGTGATAAAGGAAAAGAGTAGAGGTCATGACCCAGTTATTTGCTATTATAACCCTAAGGATATTAGATGGTTTGCATAGGACTGCTCTGTATATCCCTGTGGCCGGTAGCGTTAATCAAAAGTCGCAGAAGTTCTGTGCTTGGTGTGGACGACGTCTAAGTCTCCGTCCCATATAATCCCTCATGTGCTCGATGCAGTTCATGTTGGAGGACACTGCGTGCACCTTAAGAGCGTCAAGTCTATAGTTCACTAAGTAAGAAAGGAAGTAAGGATGAGACATGCAATGTGACAAACAGACAGTTGTTAACGTACCAATGAAGCAGTCCGACTCTGCCATTATTATGTACCTCCACCACTACGGAAAGGATATTGTAATTGTCTGACCTTAATTTATACTCTATATCATTCAATATTAATTTCTTTTTCAGAAACATGAAAACTTCTATACAGGATGTCGAACATAAAAAACGACTTATAATTTAATAATGACAAAATGATCTTCACTTCAACAAAGAAGCATTCGAAATGATGCCAGGGCCATGATTTGATTTGAATGCATTTTGGTTTGAAATGAGAAGGATTTTAAAACATTGCCTTTTTAAAATCTATATTTTTGGTTGTTTTTGGGTTGTCGTATCCCAGATTGGAACCAAAACCATTTGAATATCTTTGGTAGAAATTCATGTAAATTTCATCACATTTATGCACAAATTATCCTCCATCTTGAAAATTCTATACTGTTACCGGAGAACGCGATACTGTAACACGTTCCCTACGGTGATAAAGGACGGTAATGGTCCTCAAATGTATAGCCTGGAAACTCTATATTTGATTCTTTCGGAGAGTTTGTCCATAAATCATTATACATACAACTGTGAACTGGTTCGCCGTGTTCATCAAATCTCGAGTATCAGAAATTATAATTACCTTCGATGTTAATTTCAATTATCTACTTTCAGGTTTGTCATTTAAGTGCGGCATTGTCATTTATGTTACACTATCGAAAGCACAGCATAACGAGCATGCACAAGTCACAACGCTAGATAGGTACAGTATTAAAAAGTTGTTACCATTTTTAAATTAATCATGTTTAAATTACAATATCAATTATAAATATTGATCAACAAGTTGTTGGTGCCTACAACCATTAGGACATGTAAATTTGATTCAAATCAGTAACAAGCATAAGATTAATACATAGATTTATATGCATATATTTGTAAGCCTTTTAACAAGTGCGAAAAGTACTCTCTTTTTTAACATGATTAACATTACTTCTTTCTTTTCTGAGTGAATGCAGTGATAAATAGGAAAGTATTTTTAATTATTTTTTTTACAGTTTGGTAATCGACTGTAGTCGGATATTCAAGTCAGGACAATTAGGTCGTGCACTTGGACGGGCTCGAGAAACTAAAGGTCTACTAGTGATCACCTTTAATGTAAATAAAATTGTAATTCAACAACCTGTTTCTGTCATGAGTTTCCTGCAAAAACTACTTGCTGATTTTTTGAGGATATAAGTTGTTGCAACAATAAACAACAAAGGTATGCATTTTTAAAAATGATCACTAACCAAAGTTCAAAGCTCAGAAGTCATCATGTACCTTCAACTTAGGCACAATGTGTATTCCATGCAGGATTTCTAGTGACATCGGAAGATGATGTTCATAAATGGTAATGTTTATTTCTATGTTGTACTGGATATGCACATATATTCAGATAGTTTGGTACTGCATTTAGTCGCATTTAAATTTTCCGCCAATCTTTGTACCGGCAAAAGTGTGTGTCCTTACCTAGAAGTAAAAGACAGGCCCAGACACACCTCCGTCGTTGATCAATGAGACGTTGTCTTACAAATCTTTTCGAGCATGTGCGTTAGACTGGCATGGCTGCTGGACGATTGAAGAAAAGCAGGTTCATTTCGTTACGTAAAACAGATTTGTGCGGAGCGTAGTTCATTTGATGGACTTGAAACATCTGTCGATGCAATTTGTGCATCAATTATGAATTTATTGTGTTTAACTTGTGAGAGTTGTACCAAAACCGTGCAATCTGATCCCTACCGAGATCAAGACGAAGTGACTCTTATATTATTGTTCCTCTAACCAAAGGGAAATAATCAGTTATATGTTATTGGTTTAAATCTGTATGAGTCATGCGTATATCCATTGGCCCTTTTCAGAGATGTAATGATTTTTGTAAAATACAGACACGTTTGAAATTGTTGATATATTGGAAAATTCTATAATAAAGGATTGTAGATTATGGATTAAAGTTGGTAAAGTTCTATATTGGATGTTTATTTTATTAAAATGAGTTACAAATGAATTGTTTGTCTGAAGTCTATTAAAAGAAGATATTCATATACATTATCCATGATTTGTTTACAAACCTTGTGATCATACCAGCCTATTTAAAGTTAATATTTATTTGCAGTTATTAATATCACTGTCATTCTCCAATGTGCACATGTTTAATTCCAGTATTGCTGTAACACCACAAGAGTATTTATGTAAATTTGTGTCATTTGAGCCCAATCCACAATTGGCATGTATAATTGTACATGTCATATTATTGATTTTACCATTTTATAAGTTTTACTCTATAAATTTAATAGGCCACTGGTTGAATTATTAAATATTGAATACCCGGTATAATGCAGAAAATTATTCGTAGAATGCTCAATGAATTCATTAATTTGAAAGTGATTAAATGGTGTAATGGTTAAATGACTATTATATTTGAGACATGTGTTATAATCATGTTATGACTTCAATTGTATTTATTGTGATGTGGTAATGATCTCAGTATGTACATGAATTTAAACCGAGTCTGCATTTATTATATAATTTTGTTGTGATTAATGCTTCCGAGGGATCACTTTGTTTCCAGATTTTTATACTTCGCAACAGCAGGTGTCAAGTGTTGTGTGGCTGATGTAAAAAAATTGCCCCGTACTTCACTTAAGTGTTGTTATATTTTTCTGGTCCTTCGGGATCATTGATGCCAGCACTTTTAAATGTTAAGAATAGAGTACCGCTCAAACCGGTGCTAGGGGGCGTGAGGGATGTTGCACGTTTTCATTATCCCTCATGTACAGACTCAATCAAACCGAGTCTGCAATTCTTATATAATTTTGTTGTGATTAATGCTTCCGATTTTTAGGTTTGTTTCAGGGTTTGATTTGGATATATAAGTGTGTAAACATGTTTATACTTCTTTCATTCGTCTCTGGAATCTTTATAACAGGTTGTAGTTTTTACAAAGTGTTTGTGATGCGACTTTAACCTCATACGGTAAATACTTGGATTATTATATTGATGCTTAGATCATAAACTGATGGACATTTCATTTTAAAATTATTAAACGAACACAGCCTAGTTTATAATTTATACTTTTACATCTAAAAAGGCCTAAATTTAACCATGGTTAAAATCAACCAGAAATGCTTTTATTTTATGTTTTTATTTTATTTTTTTGTGCTTAGCATATCAGCATATTCATATGGTGTTAAGGTACTCATTGGCAAACAAACTCAACAAGATTTTGATTATGTTAAAAACGTACACGTATAGTGATGAAGTATTTTATATTGAAGTTAAAATACTACTTTGTTTACATTTTACTACTACTAAAAAGATTTTCGGTGCTTATTTCCTCAGGTCATGAGCATCTAACATGCTCTAAAACCATTATCTAATTGTTATAAAACTAATGCTTGCTCTTACAAAAGAATGGGAAAATTATTTATTTCCGAGGCATAATGTGTCTTGAATACAGGACCAAATTAACTTTTCAATGACCAGTTATATGGAATGCAACTTTCTAACATAGTCTGTGTATTTTCCTATGCGAATTAGAGATATTCAGTGAGTGAGAGTTTCATGGACTTCTAGACTTCTGCAATAAATGAATTTTACCCAAACATGAGCAAAGTTTATCTTTAAACAAGTGGTAATTGTCAGATGTTTTAAAAGCTCAAAAATTACTTTGCAGCAAGTCCTTGTATTTAATGATATTGGCAAAATTTCATTTACATATTTAGTTTCAAATGTGATGTACATTTAACCAACAATATCAACGGAGGGTTTGCATGTTTCACAGCAATTCTTTCTGGATTCATCTGTATAATCTGAACATTTGCTCCTTACACAGCCATGAAACTTATCACCATATTCGCAACCTACAAAACATATTTGTTACATTTATTAGTCTGAAAATAAATTCGAAAGTTTTATTGTGATTAAAGCCAAGTTAACGCATGCAAAATGGTAATAACGAACAGACGGGCTTGAATATCAGTAGAATACATGTACAAATGCTGTCGGTTTATCATACAAATGTATACGTTTTTGATGAAACATTTTAAAAGGGTTGTCAATTTCATATACACGTTCCATGTTCCAGTAATTGGTAGTTGGAACAAACCACAAACCAAGTTATTATACCTGGATCTTGTTGGCAAGTTACAACTCTATGCACATTTGCCCCAACAAATGTTTAATGTGACCATAAAAATGAATACATTTCTATTGCCTTTATTAATATTTGAAGTAATTTTTGAAAAATGTGCGCATTGCGCTCTAATCCGCGTCGAAACCTTGCACACTGTACGTATATAGACCTTTTCATTTAAAACCGGATTCATGTTGTCGCCCTTGGATGACGTCATTGGGGGATACGGTGGACATTGCCGATATACGATAAAATACATTAATAGAGAGATATAAAGATCTTAATCCCTACCCTTGTATGATTTGCATATTAAAATTGCCAAAATTTGTGTAATTGAATAAGATACTTCATAAAACAGATGTTCAAATGAATAAAAATGTTTACCATAATAAGTTAACGATTTTTTTCAATACTAGACCACATGGCTGGGTAACTGATCATGGTTACCATTTTTGTTTGATTCTTAATAATGAAAATTGTTGCACCGTGTTTTACCAGGCAGTTAAATCGTACTAACTGGCTAGTACCAGAGATGTACATAATGTATCTATGTCTCTGCTAATACACAGTACCCAAGAGATAATTTAAGTTTCAAAAATGTAAGTATTCTGTTGTTTCGAAAAACGGCTGCGTTATAATTAATTGCAAGATACTGGTTGAATACATGATATTTTGATTTAGGCATTAATGAGCCAAAGAAAGATAATAACATGAACATAATTAATTTCACAAAAAATTGCTTAAGCATTAAAGTAACAATTCTTTCTCATTTGTGTTGTACATCACGCCAATGGAATGCACTACATATGACATTAAAGCTGATAAAGTGATATTTTCAACTCAATATTTATATTTAATTCATATTCTGCTTATTATTTTTTTAAAAATCGCTAAAACACAAGTTGTGAAACAGGTATACAGAAATTTGTTATTAACTGATTTATGATTTTACGTATTTCTTTACTGTGCCAGTTGATAGTCTTTTTCTGGAGTATCAAATCAGTCACAGACATGACCAATAAAGTCCTTAAGATGATCCATAACCAAATTCGGATCATAAATATATTGACAACTAACAAAGTGACGTAATCTGGTATAATGTTATAACTTTAAAATATGCACCCTGGTGATTTATGAAATAACGCTTATATGTACAACATATGTACCATGTTAATTAACATGTTACATTCCAGTGGTGCTTATATAATCAACAATATTTATTTATTAAATAGCTTACTGGGAAAAGGTCTTTTATTTTCATAATTATAATATCAAAATTATCTTATCGTCTGTTACAAATTTATGTTCTGACAGTCTTTGCCACATGGTTTTCGTTCTATCGGGAATTTTCATAAAATTATATCCTTCACTCGTTCTTTTTATTTGAAAGAGTTTTGGTATGGCATAATGAAAAAGAATCATTAAGTCCTGACAGAATACATTCTGCTATTGTTCTAATGCTTGAAAAAAACAGACAATCAATACAAGAAACATAGACAATTTTATTTTCATGTTAGACTCAAAAACGCCGGATTTTTCTGAATGACAGATAATAACACATTAAATTAGAACATGACCATTTAAATTTGTATTAGGTAATTTCACTGTGTTTTGGGGTGTTTATAAAGATCTCGAAAGGCTGGCTCGAAGGGCCTGCTCGTACAGCGACCTTTACGGTAACGCGGGTACTTGCTAGATGGTGATGGTTTTGAAAACTAGCTTTCGTCGGAAGTACTGAATAGACATATCGCAGCATTTCGAATTACAATATAACGATAAAAGCAGAGGAATTCTGATTGAAAACGGATGCAAAGACTGGTGTCTTGCGCAATATTATAGGAACAATAATAGGACAGTGAACCAGAATAAACGGAAGCAGTGCATAAAATACCGAATGGCACTTTTAAAACTGAAAATGTAAAATAAAATGAACGATTATTTATATGCTATTTCACGACACGGCATAAGTACATCGAGCTCGTTTTGAGGCTTTACCTTTCTCATATTTAAATATTAAAAATTTATTTAGACACTAGCTTTTTGCCCCGGCAATAGAGACAATCGTAAATAGATATATTAATTCAATTTGAAATTCCGCTGTTTTACCCCGTAACAAGAATTTATTTTAATCTTTGTAGTTTTTTTAGGTCACCAGAACAGAAGGTTCAGGGTGAGCTATAAGCTCCTGCGTCCGTCATCCGTGGTCATGCATCAGCAATCAAATTTGGTCTCTGGCATTCTTGTGACAGTCACACTTGAATGTGCTCATGACATTTCAATTGGCCCCTTTTAGGGGTCAACAGAGCTAAGACTAGAAAAACCTTTAAACATCTTCTACTACAGAACTAATGGATGGATGGTCATCAAACTTTGTCTGTAGCATTATTGGGTAGTCTTTTACCAAGATAGCTCATATTAATTTGATTGGCCCCTTTTAGGGGCCGCTAAAGCTAAAAATTGAAATAGTTTTAAACGTCTATTTCTACAGAACTAATTGATGGATGATCAACAAAATTTGTCTGTAGCATTCTTAAGAAGTCCTTTATCAAGTTTTCTCATATCAATTTGATTGGATCCTTTAGGGGTCTCTAGAGCTAAAAATAGAAAAACCTTTAGACATCTTCTTCTACAGAACTAATTAATGGATGATCACCAAACTTTGTCTGCAGCATTTTTGGGTAGTCTTTTATCAAATATTTGCTCATATTAATTTGATTGGCCCTTTTTAGGGGCCACTAAAGATTAAAATAGGAAAACTTTCGAACATCATTTCCTACTGAAATAATGTATAGATGATCACTAAACTTTGTAGCATTCTTAGGTAGTCTTTTATCAAGTTTGCTCATATTAATTTGATTGGCCCCGTTTAAGCTAAAGCTTAAATGCCCCAGGTTATGGCATTTCTTCAAGCTATTGTTTAACCACATTTAATGCTCAAATTTAATATTAGATCATATTTACAATGGATAATGTTCAACACTGAAAACAGTTGTTTCTTGTGAGCGACTCATGGCCATCATGGCCGCTTTGTTTATTTATTTTTATTTTCTTGATATAAAATTCATGTATGGATAAGTAAAATATAGCATGTTATTGCGTAATTTAACAATCAGTATTTACGCATTTAACATCCAATTAGGTAATATTCTACGCGGTTTGTATATTGCCAAAAATCATACCTATGTGGGATGGGTTATAGTAATGTCCACAAGAGCCGCAACAAACATCGGCATTCCTTCCATAACAGTGATATGTATCTGCCTTAGATGCTATCAGAGCCGCACAATCTTTGCTTTTGTCGCCATATTCACATCCTATAGGATGATATAGTGCAAGCAATATGGATTATTATGTATATCTGTCTATATTTTGCAACATATCATGCGTGTTTTACATGAACGAATTTCACGCACAAAAAATAAACTAAATTGGTGCACGATATTTCTGAAACTATATTGGCTTGAAATTTCAGGAAGTACTCTGGCATTATGAATTTGGTATGACGTTACTGGAACAAATAAATTGAACAAAGCTGGTACCCCTTTGGTATGATGGTTTTGATGAAACTAATTTGGAATTACACTTCCGGAATACTCCAATCCTCTACCTGGCCTAGTAAAATTCACTCGTTACAATTTCAAGACACATTTGAATTAATAAATATGTTAAATCTACTGCCTAATAACGATTTAGCAATATAGAACATTGTTATTATAACATTTGAAGTCTCTTTTTATAAAAAAAGGTATTTTGATTCTTTGTTTCGTCCGTCAGTTGTCGGTCAACAATATAAAATTGGAACAAATTTAATATACTGCTTATAGCACGAGAGAGGTCAGTATGCGCTTTCGTTCGGATGGTATATTACTGAAAGTATTTCGTTCTGAAATACATAAATTTACGAAAATTTTTGCTGCTATATTTTAATTGATTCTAAGTTGATAGAAGAAGAGTGATAACCTGAACACGAGTTTATATGCAAGCTAAAGATTGTCAGAACCGATATATTCATATTGTTCTTTTGACTAACTAACCAGAATTTGATGCATTCAGATACTGTCCACATGATCTACAACAAATTTTAGCATTATTTCCGTAGCAATGGTACCCGTCAGACCGAGATTTAATGAGGTCTGCACAGCCAGTAACATCTTTGTCGCCATATTCACAGCCTGATACAAATAACAAACAAGAAAAGTATAAGGAAGCATTTTTTTGCATTTCTTTTCTGAAACATTTGTGAGCAATATGTTAAAAACGCGTTTGTTTGTATGTTTCTTTAAACAATATTAAAAGCTTACATAGAAAACGATGAAAGCAAACAAGTCACAGTTAAAATATTGCATGCATTCATATGAACAATATTAAACTAATGAGCAATTAGCATGCAATATATAATTAGCTATTTTATTTTACCTCTCATAACTGATTTACTACTCGTTTCTGAACTTTTCCAGAAACAACACCATGCATAAATGTAATGGGGTTGTATAATGAGGTTTGTCAAAAATTGATTGAAAGCAAAACAGTAAGTATAGTACCATTTTGGGATGGTGTGTAATATCTGCTGCAAGAGGAACAGCATATAGCTGCAGTGTCACTTTGATAGCAGTGAGAAGGGTCAGAATCTATATATGTTTTGCATGTCTTATCTTTGTCGCCATATTCACATCCTAAATAAAAGAGAAAAAGATAAAAAAAAATATTCTTAAAAATATCACAAAATGATTGAAAAACTGAGATTTAAAATCAATCATTCTCTTACAACTAAATAAACAAAAGTCTTTATACGGGGAAGTCAAAGCCCGGCTTTATAAATTGTCTATGGTCATTTTTTCTGTTTGTCATTTGTCTTATAATCATTTCATTTGTTATTGTTTCTTAAGTACAAGAATAAATATAGAAACTGATTGAGTGTTCTTGAACCCAAACTCCACAACTACATATAACAATATGAAAAAGAAGTATTAGAAAGAATATTGAAAGCGCACATTATAGAAAAACATTTTTCTGAGTGTGATAGAACGAAGTATTCACCAGAGACAAGTGATGTCAAGGGGTTGACATGGTGGTGTGAATGGGACATTATGTTATATCACCCGCAGTGGGATGCGATACAGTATTTATTTTATCAAATCGGTTTTCAAGACAGATATTTTATAACTTTTTGGGAATAACGACAGGCCGCAACGTGATTTATAGATTGTAAAATAAACCATGTGAGGTTTTATAATATACAATATATTGACAGAATGTATTATTAAGACTAATGAAAGAATAAATAACAAAACAATAGCGTTGCGTAAATTATAAACAGTATTGCAAGTAAGACATATTTCAGAATTGTATTACAATTACATATCAATGTAAAAAAAAGCAAAACGCGGTGAAATGTTTGATATTTCGTAAAATAAACGATTGACATCTTGTTTGCATTTCTATATGACGGAATTATAATCTTTATAAACGTAGCAAACTGATTTATTTAACAAAGCTGCGCTTCGGGCCATATACCTTCCCCAGTCTGACCAACCAGTCCGTAAACTTGCATTTTGCCCTCAATGTCATGTATTATTTGTTATATTATACCGAATCTAAACCATTTCATCCCTTTTGTTGCTGACATTTTTACTATAATTTACTTTCAAATAATAATTTATTTGTTCAGTGTGTGAAATATTTAAACCCTAGTCGGAATTATTATTATTATTTTTAGGCGATACAGCAAAAAAATCATGTTCCTCTTTTGTTATTCAATTTTTGTAAATTAAATCAAACAGGCAAAAAAAACGAAGTTTAAGATTCAGTCCATATAAGAATTACGGTTTATGGACCGGATGACGTCATATTAAATATAGAAGGGCGTATGCAAATGAGGTATAATATATAAGGTATAAGAACTTGTTTCGCTATCGAGCTTAAATAAATACGTTTAAACTAACAATAACAGTAAGTGTGGTACCTTTCTGAGATGGTGTATAGTAATTGCTGCAAGAGGAGCAACAAATCTCGGCATTATTACCATCATAGCAGCTGGATGGGTCAGACGCTATCAATGCCTTGCATGACTTATGTTTGTCACCATATTCACATCCTAAACAAAAGAATTATATATTTTCTACATTTATCACAATTAATTTGAAGAATAGACTTCTTCTTTGAAATGATCTTTTTTTAATTCAACAGCGGACCATATTGTCTAAATAAACATTTTGTTTTTGACCTGACAATGCAGACAAAAGATTATCTAATCTTCGTCATAACGAGAAAGCCTCCATGTACAGCAATAATAATATTTTTTTTTTAAATAAAAAAAACAACTCTCATTCACTTCCAGAATGATACAAGTAAACAGTTGATGTTTAAACGAACATAACAGCTCTTCAAATCATTGAACTGTTTTTAATTGTCCCTAAAATCTTCTGTCCCGGATTCTTAAGGCTCCTATGTATGAATAATCGTTACCTTTGTACTACGCGCTATCAACATTAGGTATGTTTTAGAAAATAAATGTATATCGTGCAGAAGTTAAAGTTAAAATTACAAATATGGGTAATTCATTTCTTAAATAAGTAACATTATGGTGCAGTATGTTGTAATTTAGTGGTCAATGGCCATAAGGAGCTTACTGAATTTATAAGACACACTTTTGGCATCAGACTACTCAATAATGAGTGTGGTTGCATATTAATTAAAGAATGAAGTAATTAATGTCTTACATAAGAGATATCAATGTGAAATAATAATTATGGCATTGTTCGAAACTTACAAAAGTCCTATGATTTCCTATTTGTTACGTTTGAAATGACGTTTCCTCGAAATGCTTTAACTATAAGATTCATTTTTGCACTGACCTCTTTTATCTAGTAATAGAATTAATATCCTTTTATATATCCAGGACACGTTCTTAGTATAAATTGTTTGTCATTTAAATACATGTACATGTTGATCTACAAATAAAGACTGACCTTTTTTATCACTTATGCCAGGCGTATTTATAGTAACAAAATGTAATTACATGTATGAGGCAAGAGTTTGCGGAAAAATTGCAAGCCAAACGCGGTATTCAAAAATAACATTGTTTTACTGTTTAGGAATGTCGGCAGGCTGCAACGTGATATATGGATTGTTTAAAAACCGTACGAGGTATCAATTTATCCAATATATTGATAGAAGAGATTATAAAGACTATTGAAAGAATAAATAACACAACAATAGCAATTCATAGATTATAAACAGTTTTGCAAGCAAAACATATATTACAGCAACATATTGATGTACAAAAAGGCAAAACGCGGCGGAATGTTTGATATTTGTTTTATATAAGGATTGACATCTTAAAGCATGTGCGTTAATGTTATATATGATTTCAACATATTTGTTCGCTATTCTATATGACAGGGATATATTCTTTATAAAAATAGCAGATCTATTTAAATAAGTTGCAAGAACTTGTTTTGCTATTGGGCTTAAATAAATAGGTTTAAACTAACAGTAACAGTAAGTGTGGGACCTTTCTGAGATGGTGTATAGTATTTGCTGCAAGAGGAGCAACAAATCTCGGCATTATCTCCATCATAGCAGCTAGATGAGTCAGACGCTATCAATGCTTTGCATGATTTATGTTTGTCTCCATATTCACATCCTAATGAACAAAAGTATTATATACTTACACATTAAGGAACTTCAACGTCGATTTGGAAGGAAAATGGTAGTTGGTAGTTGGATATTCAAATAACCAACTACATAGTAGCAGGTAGCTGTTTATTACCAATCAAAGCTATTTAAAAGCTGGTAGTTGGTAATTCAATCCGCTATTACCAACATGAAATATTCGAACACATCATACATTTTAAACACAGAATAAAGGAGGAGACCTAGTTGGTTATTCTCGCAAATCCCTAACTACCTACCAGAAGATAGTTGGTAATTCGAACTTTGCACGTTTTAAACTAAAGAAACAGGAGGCATTTTCCTGTATAAATAAAACGCAAAGATAGACGTGTTTTTCAATATTGAAACACACTGTCTTCCTATGTCACTCAGTGTGTCATTTGCGCAAATACCCACTACCCAATACAACTAGAAGGGTGTTTGTAATTCGGATATTGTAAATATTCCTCTAAAAACAGAAAACAGCATACTAGAAGGTAGTTGGTTTTTGGAACATAACATTTATTTCTAAAAAAATCAAAATTACAAAATAAAAGTAAAAGATATTTGACAGAATGGATAAATTCTACTAAATGTTATGACCCCGTCTCCCTACAACGACCAAGGGACTCGGTTGCTATTTGAGCTAATCCCGAACTACCTACCCGAAGGTAGTTGGTAAATCGATATTTGCATGTTTTCGCCTAAAAAGTACTTTTTCGAAATAAAAATAGAACGGATATACAGTGATATATAACAAGAAACATGTGTTCTCCAATATGAAAACAGCTTTTCTCCCTAGGGTAAATCATGCAAAGTTCGAGTGACCAACTACCTGCTTGTACGAAGGTGGGGACACATTTATTCTGTGTTTTAGCATGTATGATGTGTCCAACATGGTAATTGTGGATTGAATTACGAATTTTTCGAACATTTCATGTTGGTAACTGTGGATTGAATTACCAACTACCAGCTGTTTAATAGTTGGGAATTATGAGTAACCAACTACCAGCTATTATGTAGTTTGTTATTCGAATATCCAACTACCAACTACCTACCAAATTGACGTTCATTATACATTTATCACAAAATAATGTGAACTTTCAAATGATCTTTTGTTGTTTCAATAGCGTATTGGTTAAATAAACCTTCTATTATTAACATGACTAAAGTCTAATATTCGTCTTATAGTAAGAGGACCCCATGTAGAGTGACAATAATATTATTTTTAAAGAAAGACATAATCTAATGCAATTCAAGAATGATAACAGTACAAAGTGTACTTAAAGATTTTGATCATTGAGCTGTATTTAATTGTCCCTGAAGATCTTCTGTTCCGAATATTTGAAACTTTAGCACTTTAGGTTTCTGTGCTTCAACATGTCCGTTAAACAATCGTCACCTTTGCGCATAGGGTTATCAACATGAAGCTATGTTTTAGAAAAAAAATCTGACATAAGAAGTGAAGTAAAAACGTTAAATTGCAAATATAGGTAATTCAATTATTGCATATTAAATGATATTATGATGCAGTATGTTTACATATAGTGGTCAGTTGACATGAGAAGATAACTAAATTTATAAGATACTATTGTTAGTCTCTTTTTGGCATCAGATTACTCAATAAGTGTTGATACACATTAAATAATGACAACTGCCATACAGAAGAAGAAGAGATATCAGTATGAAATAATATTAATGACATTGTTCGAAACTCATAAAAGTCCTATGATATCATTATTGGAACGTTTGACATGACGTTTTATTTAAAAACGTTTACTTTTTGGTACATTTTTACACTGACCCCTTCAAAGAAAAAAAACTGTTTTAAGCTTTTTGGACAGAGAGAAAACGTCAATCTCTACTAGGAAAATTGATATCCTTTTATATATCTAAGACCGGTTCTTCAGTTAAAATTGTTCACATTAATATACATGTACATATAAATCTGCAAATAAAGAACAGAGAGTGCTACTGACCTTTGATACTAATTATATGTCAGGCTTGTGTATAGTTAAAATGTAGTTACTAAGTAAATAAATGTAGTTACATGCATTACACAAGAGTTGTTGGAAAAAAAAACATACCAAAATCGTAAGAATTCTAAATAATAATTAAGGAAATAACTATATGAAATAAATACCTTTTACGTTTGTTCGGGCATCTTCACATGTTTTACAACATTGCCTTTTAGTATAGTTGCTGTAACATGCCCAGTTGTTGTCGTGCTGTCTTATCTCTGCGCATGTCATATTGCTGTAGGAAACGGATGAGTCATTGTAACGGTCTCCTACTGGACAGTCATCTTTGAAAAGATTATGAAGATTAGATAATTACTCTTTCGGTAAATGCTAGATTGAATCTAGTTGACCTTTAAGTATAGAATTGATAAAATAATTCTTATTACACGTTTTTTACGCTTTATTCCTACAGTAAATATTTAGATAACTTAAAGATCCTGTAACACAATTTTTTTGTATGGTTTTAACTCATAAATATAATGCTCAAATGAAGATTTATCAATATCTCAGGTTCCAAAAAGCATTATCTATAAAGGTATTACCGAATTTAACATGTCATGAAAATAAAGGGAGGTAATTAGAAATCTATTTTCTATAAAGTTGAAGCATATATTTTAATGATTACATATAATATGCACAAATATTTGCAGTACATATTTTACATTTTCTTTGATGTTTGAAAATTGTTTTATTAGCGTAACTTTACATATATATAATTGCACTTAATGTGGTTAAGTACTTAAATCACAACATACAGGATCTTAAAGCAATTAAAGCGAAAACTTCGAGCAAAATATTTATGAATGAGTTGGACAAAGTTTCCGAATGGTTTTATATTACGTGACGATGAATATTTTTTTAACTTTCATAAATAAATGACTTAATATAGCAGCCTTACCGGACACATCTGGTGCGTTAGAATCTTGAACACATTTCCTGTCTATGCACCACTGTTAATAAATAAGAAATCAAAATCCAAATGCAAAGTCATAATACTCAAAATTGTGTCAGAACACAGAGATTTGTAGAAACTTTGATGAAGTACATTTTTTCCGGACATTAAGTTTGAAACCGACATTATATCATTTATTGTGCAATAAGTGAAATTTTATTTGGTATGATAATAAACATATTTAATTTCTGTCCATGTACATTTTACAAATTTGCAATTTTATCACTCGCCATTTTATTTATTCACTAAAGACGAAAGTCAAACAGGCGTCGTCTACAAAACAATGCATAAGGAAATCTAAATATACACAATTTGACGGGAATACCGACCTTAATTGAGTTATGAATAGGAAAACTAATTCGATTAGTATCTAAAACAAAATCATAATTTAAACATACCTTTTTGTGGCCACACGGTGTTTTATCATAAGCATATATAGATACGCAGCTATGATTTGTAGAGGTATCAAAACAGTAAAGGTGTTCACATATTATTTCGTAAGATGATACTTGATACCCACTCTATAATATAGAATGTGTTTGACATCAATAGTGTTCTATAGAATAATGGTTTTCCATATGGGAATTTAAATCAAAAAAGTATAAGCTGTATGTTTTAAGTCAAATTGTTACCTTTTGTACAATACTTGTATTTGTCCAACTTAGTATCATCTTATATATACAATACAAAAGAGTGTCGATACTACGAGGGGTGTTCCAAAATTAATGTTACTCGGGTTCTATCTCGTGGAAATCTATATGAACTCAAATCCAATACATGTCGATAGCGTGATACCTGGAAAGAAGTATTGGTCAATATCTCGCTCAAAATTACACTAACCTTGGTACTGTGTACGTTGTTTTGCAGTGTACTCGTTACACTTACAAAAATATGGTTGGAAAGAGAGCTGAAAACGTGATTGAAATTAGGGGCTATATCAAAGGTAGGTCTCCGCTTGGCTTTAAGCCGAGGGATATTCATCGCGAGGTGTGTGATATTTATGGGGAGGGTCAAATGTCGTATATGACTGTTTGTAGGTGGGTTGGTCGATTTAAGTCGGGACAGCAGCAGCTGACAGATGCTGCTCACACAGGCCACCCTGCAACAACAACGACAAAATATAACATAGCAATAATTCGTCGAATCCTGAAGAAAGACGCAAGGTACACTGTCAGGCAGTTAGCTAGAATGACAAACCTGCCTATAGCACGTGTTCATTGCATTACAAATAACATCTTGGGCTTAGTAAGATTATTGCTAGGTGGATACCACATATACTAACTGACGACCAAAAGATATCAAGAATTGAAAACGCCAAACTATTGTTGAAAAAATACACGAAAAGCAGCAAAAGGCTTTCGGCAATTTGGTCACAGGTGACAAAATATGGGTGTATTTTTTCGAACCCAAACGAAAATCCTCTCATCAAATCTGGGCCACAAAAACGATGGGCGCCCTAGCATTGCTATAAGAATACGAGCCGTGAGCAAGGTTTTGTATGTAATATTCTTTAATAACAAGGGTCCAGTCGTGCAAATTCCTGTGCCGAAAGGTAGAACTGTCACAGGCAAGTACTATACAGACGATGTACCTAGCAAACTTAAGAAACACTATAAACACCGCCGCCCACAAACAGGTTTGAAGTAACGTAACTGAGACTCTTGCATGATAATACGCCAGCTCACAAGGCACGATCTGAAGTTTTTGAAGACGGAAAAGGTCACTTTCCTCCCCTACCCGCTTTTTCACCAGACCTAGCCCACTTTTTCTTGTTCCCCAAACTAAAATTTCACCTGTCTTGAAAAAAATACAAATCAAGAAATGCTCTGGGCTCTGCGATTTACCAGTATCTTATAAGTATACCCATTGAAGAGTACGAAAACTGTTTCGAAAAGTTGAGTTGATTGATCGGCTGAAAACGTGCATTAGGGTAGAGGGGGAGTACTTTGAGGGACATGGCAAGTTGAAATGATCTTAATATTTATTCATTTATTTAGTATTTAAAAGTTTATATCAAAAAGAAAACAAAAAAGTAACATCAACTTTGGAACACCCCTCGTATAACATGTAAGTATTTCTTTTACTGTTCCTGTTTTTTTATTTTATTTAATGCTCATTTTTTAGAAACAATTATATCAAAATGATGATGCAATGAATAAGAAATGGGCTGCTTGAGTTTATATTACTTAAGCCCTGGTTAGATAATAATTTTACTTCTATTTTTCATACATTCACAGCTCGATGTTTTTGCTAAACTTCTGTTCTATAGAGATAACAAGTATGCAGCCATCGTTCAGCTTTTTTTAATTGCATTAAGATTATACTATCCATTCCATCACGATTGTGCCAACGACCGTTGATTAGCCCGATTTACAGCCATGAAAAGTTAATGATAAATAAAAACAACGCCGTTTATGTCTTTTTGATTGATACTGTGTAGATGACTTTCGCATACCTCACTGTTGATTGAAAAAGAATGGTTGCATTGAGATTGCCTACCCTGCACAAGTATGAGTCGGGACCAAAAAATTCCTTGCATTGGTCATCAACCGGCACTGACGTTGTTTGAGCAGTTTTACAAGAATCACAACATCTATGTTTGAAGTTTTGTCGTAAACATTCATTAGGTCGAGTTGCAGCATTTTGTGTACAAGTAAGGTTGTTATACGTCGGTTCTTTTGCTTCGCCGAAAGGACAGTTGTCATCTGTAACATATATCAAGTAATACCCTTACGAGTTTAAGTAAAAAATATTCCAAAGTTATCGAATTAAACAGTATATTGTTTAGTAAATTGTCAAAATCATTACATATAAAATAAAAATACTTCGACAATATATGCAACATGATTTCGTATGTCTGGTCTCTGTGTTATTATTCCCTTTATTTCTTATTTACGTTTTGTAATTGATACATGTGTCCGTATTTTGATATATTGAAGCAACGCATGTTCATTTAAAGTGACTGATGATAATTTGTGGTTCTACAATTTAAGTAACAGAGAAGGAAACGTTTTATACCATGTGATGACGGGGCTCTACTGTCCTTCACACAGTTATTAGACACACACCACTGAAATGAAAATAAACATTTAATTTAACCATGATATAGAGTCATAAAATAAAGGCATAATTCAAGCTTTTATAATACTTCACATTTGTTATGTCAATTTTCATAAATAATGGTGAAGTTTTTTATAATCTCTTTACACTTTACACGGCTGTTGAAAAAATATGATGTATTCATTACACCTTGAAAAACGGGAACAAATTGTTAAGAAAAAGACTTTTGACCTCTTGTATTGTCATGGAAAAGTGTATATTACGCATTCAATTGAGACACAACATCCTTTTTGTAAACGAAACGTTAAAGCCAGTCATGAATTTGCTGAAGAATATGTCTTTGTTTTGGTAACTATCATATTCTAAAGCGTAACATTCAGTCTCCTTTACTCGAATTTCAACATTACAATTTGTTTGCTACAACTTGATATTAAATGTAAATTATTTGTTATATTTACGAGTTTGTTTCTTTTTTGTACATAATATTGCAAGCCATTGACTCTCTCCCATATTCCGCAAGATAATGTTTTTACAAGTCAAGGGATACCACTTGTTATAGCGCCCATCGTTGTTATACGTACAAATTTGTACAGTATTAGATTTGTCCAACATATAATGTTAAACAAAAGATGTTTGATAAAATATGAAATTTTAAGAACCTTTAAAAATAAAGTACTTTGAATTCATGAGAAAAAATTTAGACATACCGATGTCTCGTTTTTTATTGACATGCAACGTACTTACAGACCCAGCAGCGCACGGCGTTCCGTCTCCACCATCTTGCATATAACAGAGATCGTCCTTCGAATTGTAGCACCACATTTTCAAACAAAACTCCGTAAAATTCTCTTTGTAAACTCCCTAAAATCAGCAGAAATATTGTGTTTTACTATCATACACCGAGAACAGTCTTACTGTCATATTGACAGCTCTTGTTTCGAAAAATGAAATGTTGTTATTTTTATATTTTTTCGTTATTGGTAATTTCGAAAAAAAAAACACAACAAATGTCACCCGTGTCAGTTTTGGGGCACCGTATAACTAAAGCATGAATATCAAATAATATAATAAAATACATCGACTTAATGGACACAAAAAATACCTTTACGTAAAATTCTACACTTTACATGTGTGCTATTTGTAAACTGTTTTATTATAAATGATCGTTTCGTCTTACCCTGCACATAAAGGAGCCTTTTCCTTGGGCAATGACACACTGTTCATCCACAGAATATATTTCCCCAACCCACTTTTGTGAGGCTAATGCAAGAGCTGGTTTAGGGTGGTTGTCATTGACTTTTGCTAGGCAGTTCTTGTGGAGTCTTTTTGAAAATAAAATAAAAACTTCACCAACTTGATTCAGTAAAAGAATAATTATAATTGTGTAATAAAACTTAATTAAGCAACAAATTTTAGATATTTTGTGAAGGGAGTTAAACATCAACATGAAAGTATTATTTCATTATTTTAAAGGGTTTATTCATGAAGAGAAATACTATATCGGTACACGTGTTTTTGAACTATCTGCTCTTGAAAATGCCATAAAAAAGCAAAAAAAAAAACAAACAACAAACTAATGATGTTTCCTTTATCAAACAGAATTGAAGCAAGCTCACTGCCCACTGATTTAACATTTCATACTATGCCTATGGAAGATCGTAAAAACTGTAGGAAATGTGTATAGCTCGAATACAGTTATTTTTGTGATTTACCGATTTGTCCGGTTAACAAATTCTTGGATGTAATCAATGGAGCATGACGAGAATATCCATTTATTCTTGTTATATTTAACATAAGATCGCTCCATGCAATAACCCAGACCCACTTTACACGTGTTGTTTGTGCCATCGTGCTCGCAACCTAAACTGCAAATGAAAAAGACATATTTAATAAAAAATTTGAACGAATTTGTACATGCATATACGCGCGACTTTATAAAACAGATAACAATTTTCAAGTATAATGGAAAATTAAAAAAATAAGGACATTTTCAACAAATATCGTACACCCGGGCCTTAATGGCAAAATTGAATCGATATATTTGTATGCCCGTCCGTCCGATCGGTCGTTCATCTATTTACCCACGACGATAATACATTTTATTTTTATTTTAACGGAAAACTAAAAGAACACATAACCTATAGTAAATACTTCAGACTTGATGGGAAAATTGATTGAGATGTATATTCCTGCATTTATTTTTTACTTTTAGGCATTTAAAGTTCACATGCCTGCGACTTAGTCTATGTCTACTTAACATACCTGTGACCTAGTTCATGTGTAGTTAACGTACCTGTGACCTAGTTCATGTGCAATTGTTTCAGCTGTAGCCATTTGCCCACTATCCTCAACAATTGACTGGCTGTTTGGCTTACACTCGGCACCGAGTGCGTTACCTGTAAGAGTTCTGCAATTTACCGAGTGAGAACGTAAACACATTCTGACTTCCGGTAAATGACTTAATTATTTTGAATCAACGCTTACTAATCTAGAATTACAAAATACCGAACACTTAATAGCAAATTTTCACAGAAGACGATTAATATGGGACACCTATAGTTCTTAATGGCATCGCATATTTTCCTTCCAAGCAGTTTTGACTTACCTGAATATATATGAGTGCCACTTTTCCCGAAAAGCAAAGAGTACCTGTGAAGAAATATTTATTAGTAATATACATTTAAATAGCCTGTATAGGCGTTAAGGTGATAGTATGTTTTGTTGTTTTTTTTATTTTGTTCATTTTACCTCGCGTGACTTTTGCCTATTTCATTTGCTATATATGTATCATTTCACCATTCTCAATACCATTAAAACCCGTTAAGTAACGACTGGACAAAGAATGTGGCTTTAAACAAATTTTGTTGTAATAATTGTTGTATCATAACTAATTAAATACAATTACAATACAATTAAATCATGATGGTGAATACTACAAATGATGCGAGAGCGGGAAAGAAATATAATTGTATGAGTCATCGTATTCATCAGTTTAAGTCATTGGAAACTAACAACTGAATTCGACTTCACCCTCAAGAAAACAAACATGCAATAGGTCATATTTCAAAAGCACTTATCTTTGACAAGTATTCTAGACATAGACCCGGAAATAGATATTTGTAGATTTCTGTGGGCTTAGAATAGAAAACAATGTCCCTATGATAATTTGTAATCTTTTCCTTTTTTCTTTGTGCAGATAAAAACTAACAATGCATTTGTTAATTTTTTTTTATAATTTAAGTAATCACCTTGTAAGTAACATGGCATGGTCGTGCGGTATGGTTTTCTGTAATTCTATAGACTTTGGATTGAAGTGTGAATGGACAACATCTGGGTCAATGAAGTACGTGTCGTTGACCTTGAACTTTGTAGTCTCTGTCCAAGGGGAATCTGCCTCTGTCTGTTGTAATTGATAGATATATTTAAACTCCGGCATATAATAAAAACATGTAAGAATGAAAGAATTGATACATTATTGTATTAGGGATACGATCTTATGCAGCTAGATATAAAAAGAGTTCCTTTTCTGAATGCCTATTAATAATAGGGTCATTTTTTTTATTTACAAGCTTAGATACGTTTTAAAGATTTGACATTAATATTAATTATATACAAAACTGTTAAGATTTTTACGTGCCTGGACGAACATGACGAATGCGATTTAAACCGAGACTCTCCACCTTTGATAATACGATAAAGAAAATGAGCAACCTAGATACGGACCAAGTTTAAATGGCAACCATCACGTTTCATCCCCTAGATGGTCACACTATAGGTCATGTTTAAAACTAGAGCGCAATGTCATGAAATGATTTTTAACTTTATTTTGTGTTTTCTTACATATGTGTTCAATATATTTCGTTCCCAAAATCATTAATTTAGTTTCAAGACTAATTTAGGAAAAATTAATTTATTTGTAAACTTTTAAATACTTCAATTAATTTGTTCGGGATAAATTTTATAACTGTTTTAAAACCCAAAAATTCTAATTATAAAATCCAAAGGGGACTCCTAACTTGCCCACTTGAAATCGTACAATTTGACATTCCCCTCAAAAATTGGGGCCCAGGGGATAAAACGTCAATGTAGTACACTTTTGAGTTTTTTTCAAAAACAAAATCAAATGTTACGCAAAAAGATAATCAAGGTGGAAAAATTTGAAGTTTTATAAGTAAAAATAAAGTTTTAGCAAAGAAAAGTTTTAAGGGGATTGAGTAAAATTGATAACGGCATAACAATGGCAAAGAACACTACAGCTTTGAATGTTTTTACAGAAGCACTTTATTCAAGGTCAATATAAAGGTCATAACACATTTAAAACAAAACGTAAAATGTATAGCGTCACACTTTGATGTTAATAGGACACGGACTGTGACGGAAAATACCGAGGGTGAACGAGTTTAAGTGGATTTATTAAAGTAAGATAATACTTACAGTCATGATGAGTAAGTCTACAATCTTTATTGAAATGAAAAGTCCATGGGCCTCCAGTCTTTTATATACGAGGTTTGCCTTGGAAAGACAACATTGATAATAATCATAGTGCAGGTTGAAAAAACTGCCCTTCAAAATTTTACTTTTTTTCAACTTAAACAACAAAATGTTGTATCATATAAAGATCTGTTACAAGTTTATTTTAAATATAGACATTTTGATTTGCAAGAAATACTGCTTATAAATGAATGTTTCATACAAAATTTCGTTCATTCAATGTTTGTTTTGATTTCAAAAATACCTCAATGTTCCGGGTTGGTTAGTCTAGTTTTATGTAGCTAAAGCCAGTATTTCAAGAGCCAGATAAAAAGAAAAACGTAACTCTCTACATTGAAATTTTTCAAAAGAATGAGATAAACTCACCGTATGGACCATTGTACCGATCCATGTCGTAAGATTTTGTTTTGCAATTTCTATCTTTTTTGCCTCAGGAAGTGATTGGTCCAACAGCTCATACCATCTGTAAAATAACTTTGTAAGCTTATTTTAATATTCTTATCATTGAAACAAAGTGTGTTAACTTGTTTCTGTTATGTCTCGATTATTAAATAATGCAGGTCATCAAAACAGCAAAGTGAACCAAACTATTTGTTTTGTTTTGTACATGTACATGCATGTACGTAGAATGCAACAAAATAGAGAAATACAAAATCCCCAAAGAAAGCCCAACACGACAAAATTGAAAATGTTGCAGGCTCGGTGTGATTGAGCCTGTTCATGGACGGTACTGGAAAGCGCAAGTTATTATTATCAAATTCTGTTGGAAAACATTTTTTTTTCATGGACAAAAACTATCAAACTTGCTTATCTATGCTCCTTAAATAAATCTAATTTAATTATACAAACGATGAAAGAGCAAGTGTGGATGATAATCAAGGAGGAATGAATAACAGGCTTACTTATTGAACAAGCTATAATCGGCCACGGTGACAACTTCAATTTCCAGCGGTGTTGCTGCACGTCTCCCGATCTGTGACATCTCCTCCAAACATGATACTTCTATAATGATGGAAATGATTTAAAAAAAATGTTTGGAAAACTATTAATTATTGATTGGAAAGTAGGAAAAATAAACGTATTTTTGCATTTTTTTAATAATCATATTTCATCAGTATTCATTTAATTAAGTAGTTTTTCATTACAAAATATTTTTCGCATTTTGTCTTTTTTAATTTGCAATAGAATTCGTGAAGTACGATATAGATCTAGTGCTTTTATGTTATAGTAATAAACTCCATAAAAACAATAATAATTATTATGAGATATCAGAAATATAGGAAAGTCCTGTTTTTCTATTTTTCATTTTAGGTAAAGATTTCGTACTTTGAGTTTTACTGGATTAAGCCAAAACCTTTCATTTATTCTTTATGCTTACGAATATTTCGGGTAAATCAGGGGAGCGTTTCACTTACGTACTTACGTTATCATAATTCAAGTTTGAATGTCCTTTTTGCGTAAGCAGAACATACGTATTTATTTGCTGTTAAAGAACAGGCTATGGAACTTAGAGACACATGATCATTATAACAACTTGCAGGGGGTAAATAATTATGAGTAAATCATTCATAGTCTTTAAACATAATAAGAATTTGTCTAAACTGCTAAAATATTATTCAATGTTTCAAAGTTTTTCTTTATTTGTTTACGAAAATTGTCGACGTAAAGGTCAAAAGTTGCAATTTAAAAACATTTTAGTTCTACATAAAAATATTAGAAATTTGTTTGCACTACTGATATTGTGAAAAAGGGATACCATAAATTGGCATCTCTTTTTAATTGTTTTTTTTTTAATATAGAAACTTACCGTTTAGGAAATAGAAAGCAAATGTGATCGCAAGACATTCACAGACAATCATAGCGAAGACTCAATTTGACTGTTAAATTATATGTCCCTTCTTTTTTGACTGTAGACAAGTTAATGATGGTTCAACGTCTTCTATGTGTGTTTTTGTTAACACAATTAAATGCGTTATCTTAAGTGTGACCTACATAACGTCAAGCGCGATCATTTGACAAAATTTCCGCTTCTGGTCATCAAGTTAAAAAGCAATGCCTTAAATTTCTATTTATAGCAGATCTATTGCACGATAACGGGGAGACATCAGGACAAGGTTATGCATATATTTAAGTTTCGTTTAGTATATACTTATCAAGAGTCCTCTTTTCAAGTGTAGTAACAAAACAAAAGTCTGATGTTACAAATCACGGCAAAATAAACTATGTATACCTGCGCTATTTCATGCTGATGTTTGGCTTGTTTATCCTCGACACCGAAATAAACCAAATCATATGCATGTATTTTATCAATTAACGTAATCGTATTGCTCCGCGCCCACAGGCAGTAAAAAGACGAAACAAAAAAAATAACTTAAAATTAGTAATCTATTGCTGACATCCGATCTTCTACTGGAAATAACTTATTTTTTGTAGTACGCAGTTTGTTATGTACTGTGCGTTTAGGATAATTATTTAGTGACGCTGTGGTCAAGTCCACTATAACGGTGTAAAACAGTTATCTTATTGTGTTTATCACCTTAAGTCAAGCAGGCTTGCCATATAAATTAAAAATATCGACAAATTTGCCAACTGTCGGCGCAACGCAGTAGGTGAAGTTGTCTTGTAAAATTCTAATTACGTATCAATGCAAGACAGCCAGGTTCGGTCCCAAAAAAAATCAAAATAAGTAGCAATCGAGTAAGAATGTCTTCTTTTTTCTTGTAAAAGATTAAATGTGCTGCGTTATTGTCTATTAACTTCTCACTTCACTTTTGTTTTAAATATTGCCATATTTAGCAAGTTGATGCATACATGTACATAAATTGTTTCAACTATAGTTAAGATTGCACGAAATACTTGTGCACTGCAAAAGGTCTATGACTACTATATATTACACACTACACGGGATAAAATCATTATTTCCGGTATATCTAAATTATTTGATATTATAACAAAAGTGCTGTTTTATTCCAATTCATTTGCATATGTTGTAAAATTAAAAAAAATAGGGAAAGTAAAAAGAAAAAAAGTAAGAATACTTTTGAGGCTCGAACGCATGATAAAAAATTAATTTGTATGGCATCCTATTGACTTTACCAACTTTGCCATCGAGGCATTTCAAATTGTTTTTCTTACCTTGAATCATATTCGCTTCTAAATACCCTGTTTTACCTATTCAGGGAAAGGTTGTAAACTTTTGTGTACACAAAAAATGCAACGTCACTCTCACATTATCATAGCGGCACAGTATGTACTTTATTGCTGCGCAAGACTGGTTACATGAACTCGAAAGCTATAAAAAGATGACCTTAACATTGTGAAAACCCAAAAATCTATTTATAGTTTTGAGTCTAAAACTGTTTTAGAAAAGATATTATAAAGATAAGTTGTCGGTCAAAATGGACAGGAAAAATAATTATACTGATCAGAGACTTAGATTGCAGATCAAATACAGGTAGATGTGAAATAATACGTAACGAAAACTAATGCGTAGTCCCCCTTCGCCATACGAGTGTGTCCGATTTATCTCCCTTTATTAGACGGCGCGTGCATGCGCTGTCTAGTAGATATGCATTCGCCTATTCAGCAATGGGGAATTTAGACTTGTTTTTGTGTATTTTTCTTTTGTTTTAACAATATCACACTGTTTTCTAATAAAAATAGCTTTTCTGATGTACAGCATGTTACCGAGCTTTAAAGAATTAAAATAAACGTTTAACTGAAGTGATAATGACATGTTTGAATATCATATTTTTTCATCAATATATTATTTTATTTACCAAATAACGTGCCAATGAGCCAGTCTATAGTCGACCGTTCTAAAACGGTTGTGAGAGGTAACGACTGAGGCAGTGTCACTCACTTCGTTTGCTCCGCCTCTATTGGAGTAAGGCTCCGCCTTAAATTGTCGCACAATTTAATATGATGCTCTGTATGCTAGCATCAAGTCTTCGTTGACAGAGGGAAGGGAACCAGGACAACTCAATATCATTTCCCTACAACATTAGGATGCAAGTTACAAAGCCTAAACCACGCTCACTATCAGAGAGGCGGTTCTCTCTCAACCGTCAAGAAAGTACGCTTACTGTATTTAAGTTTCAGAGTCTAATGACGGGAAATTGTGTGATATCAAGTAGTTTACTCTTTTGTAAATAAAAAAAACAATACGTAACTAAGATTATATTTAACAATTTATTCATATCTATTAATTGATATTATAGACATATTTTTGCTATTTGTAAAATAACAGAACAGTACGTCCTCAAAATCACACGAACATTATGCAATTCAATTCGTACCAATATTTAAATGGACATATTCTCGGCGCAACGAATATATTTTTCTTTACCCCTGTCTTTGTCTTGAATTTATTTTAAGTATACCAATCATCTAAATTTAGCTTGTTATCCAATTTATTTTGTTTCGACCAGACCATCTTTGTCACAGCAGACAAACATTTCAGAATAACAGACATGGCATTACTTTGTGAATTTATGCATTAGGTTCTACTCTTTTACAAAAATATGCAACTTAATTATTAAAAAAACGATACATACCAAAAACATGAAGAAAACATTGATTAGTGCTTAGGATATTCAGCTGTAATAGAGAACGATTTCCAAGATTACATTCGACTGTTCATATCATTTGGCAGCGTCTTTGATGTGCAGCATCAACATTGACATTGATTTAACTTACAAAAAAATATCTACATCAGAACAATGTTGCGCTAGTGTCTCTCCATACCAGGTAGGCATTAGCGAAAGCATATTTCTTTCATTTTATTTAAAGTTTGGCTCCTCTCTCATGGACAGTACCTTCGATAAGTATAGTTATGCAAATAAACAATGTACAAAACATCCGGAATAATGTACAACAGTACTTGATATAAAACGAAAATGACCTGTGCTTAAGAATGATTTGGTAAGGTATCTGTAATGAGCGCTGTTTTTGCACGGAGCTTCTCATTTGCTGCATTTCAGAAATATTTGTACTCGTTGAGCTATGGAGGGTTTTATTTCCTATGTATATGTTAGTGTTTATACAGATTTCCATAACTGTCGCTTCCTTAGGGGTTCTTAATTGTTAAAACTTAACTAACTGACTTAGTGTTTAACCTCATTTGACCCCATTGGAACGCCAACAGCCAATGGAAGGTTGTTTACAATACAATGGGTGGAGTTAAGAGAGCACATTCATTTATCAGTCACGTCAATCAATATAAAAATAGCAAGGTAAGTCTGGCGATAAAGTGCACCTTATTGCACGGTGTACCGCTAAATCTCTTCAGTGTTGTAATCTTCTGAAAATCAGCCTAAGCCATTCTCTGTATGATTTTCTCGTTGAGAGTCTGAGGACATTTCAATAGTTATATATACCCTAAACACTGCGAAAAGAGTCTGAGTGAACTTTATCCTTCATGTGCCTAACTGTGTACACAAATTGACTAATATTAAAATGACAACCATAACCCATTTGTGACTAATATATGTTAGCTGTTCAAACTGACCAAAATGTTTCGGTTCGTCTATATTTTCTCCATGGGATTATAATTTAAGTGACTGCGCCATTGCATGAATAAACGTTGATGTAATTCTCGCCTTCGCCAATGGCTAGTCGTCATAATAAGACGGGGCTACTTATTATAATTCAGTTTACCTCAATTATACTCGAGTTAACGCACTTTCGATCCACCTTTAAGGCCTCAAATAGTAAAGAAATGTCATATTTAGACCCCAAGCACTTGTTTTCGTTTGAGAAAAGTTGGTAAAAAAAATTTTCCCGCGCCGCCCCTATCAAAAAGATACATTAGGGATGCAAGAGAGGGGTTACCGTACACTTCAACGCCAAAAATGGAATTTTGGACTTGTGAGCGGCTAAAAATGGCCGAAGGTCGATCTTAAAAACAAAGAAAAGCCTTTGACTCCATCTTTTGCTATCCCGAATATTTATAATTGATGAATTATATATATAGGATCTTAAAAATATTCATAGGAGTCCCCAACCATACATCTTGGAGAATTGGGGGATTCCCTTTAGTTTGAATTGCTAAAGAGAGAGCACTAAGATATTGGATAAACAAAATTAATAACTCCGAAAACATTTCTATATTTGATTCAAAATCTTTGGAATAATGCAAATACCTCTTGTTGGACAAGCCAAGTACATTTTATTATTGATCATCATTGACATTTATAATTATTTAAGAGTCAATTTTGAAACAAACATTAATATTTATCCTGTGTTAAAGATTACATTACGTGATCATTTTGTTCAAGAATGGAGTACATTGTTTAGCGCTTTATCTAAATTAGATTATCATGGAATAAAAACTTTAAATAACACTTAGCTATGAGAAAAAGTTTGAAATGATATGCAGAGAAAACATTTGATGTCTCTTAGACTTTGTTCTTACAATTAAGAACCAGAATTTGTAGATATCAATGAATAGAGAAAATTGCATATGTGAACTGTATAACCAAAATGACATAGAAACCGAGGGAATGAAATGAATGGAATGAAAGAATGAAAGATAGTTTACAAAAGTATGGTGGATGTTTGCCTCCATTTTAAACCATGTTATTGTAAACTTACAAACTCGCCATATTTTCTGTTGAAATCGTACAAAATGTCGCAGGCAACGTATAACCCTTTTTACAGTACGACTTTTTCATAGTAACGGATATTGCTTTTCGCGCATGCGCATTCTGCGTAGGACAAAAACAAAAGAACAAAAGACTGCATTTTAGCATACTTAAAGGCTTTAATAGACGTAATTTGAAGTATTGTCACCCAGAAAACATAAACTTTGGGATGAATTAAAGCGGTAAGTACTTAAAATGTGCATTGATATTTAAAAGAGATATACGAAAATAGCGGGACTAATTATTCAGTGACTAAAGGCGCATGTTAAATTTTCTGTTTATTGTATCATTTGACGACCTTTTCATCAGTTATTTCAATTGAAACAACATGGCGTTAAAGATAAATTTTCATTACCCCTG